TCCCTGGTCAGGGAACTAAATCCCGCACACCGCAACTAAAGATCCTGCACGCCACAACCATCCACACGTGTGCCGCAACTAAGACCAAGTTTAGCCAAGTAAATAAATAAATAAATGTTTAAAAAAAAGAAAATTGGCATCGAAGAACAAAGTGTACCTAATGCGCACTGAACAACCTCATGGCAAAGGATGGGCTTTATTTTTAAGGTTGTTTGTTTTTACGGAGTCTTAACCACTGGACCATCAGGGAAGTCCCCTATTTATAAGTTTTTTTTTTTTTTTAATATTTATTTATTTATGTGGCTGTGTCGGGTCTTAGTTGCGACACGTGAGCTCTTTGTTGCAGCACGCAGGCTTCTCTCTAGTTGTGGCGCTTGGACTCCAGAGTGCATGGTCTCAGTAGTTGCAGCACGCAGGCTTAGTTGCCCTGTGGCATGTGGGATCTTAGTTCCCTGACCAGGAATCGAACCTGCGTCCCCTGCACTGGAAGGTGGATTCTTAACCACTGGACCACCAGGGAAGTCCCCCCTATTTATGTTTTATTGCTCTTGTTGTCCATAGCTCAGCTAGAAACACCCATCTAAGCGCATTAAATGAGCAAAAGGAAACTTTCTGTTTTATGAATGGAAATTAAGCTTTGGAGTTAAGACATGGACTCAATTTTCAGCTCCTCCACATCTCCAAGCCCCAGTTTTCTTACATTAAGAACTCAGTAAGGGAAAAAAAAAAACAAAACACAAAAACTCAGTGAGGTAAGCATAGTACAATACCTGACACAAACTAGGCCATCAATGGCTGTTTTTGTTTCTAATAATCAAGAAGAGACTTTGATGGATGTTTCAGTTTGTTGCAATAACAGAAAAGCTTAAGTAAAAAGTAGAATTTATATTTAGAAAGACAAGAAATATCCAAAGTAATTCATGAGAAGGAACAAACAATAGGGAACTTTTTCTGACTTTATGAGGCCACATGGTCATTATTTTTTACTTTTCTTTGTGTATCTGCTTCATTCTTCTTTTTCTGTAGACAAAATTTCTCTGCATTTACATGCACGACATAGAAAATATCTACCCTAAACCTACAGCTTTCACTTCCCAACTTCAGCACCAGTTCCATCTACAGATGACCAATGTCTCTGGGTCTTTATTTCAAATTCTTAGGGTAAAAAGCCTGATTGGCTTAGCTTAGGTCAGGTCTATTCCTGATCCCATCACCTGGGAGTGGTATCACACAGGATAACAAATATGGCCACAAAGTCCCACACTATGGGAGGGAGACAGGGGCTAGGCACAAACCCCAAAAGTGTCTACTACAGGATTATTTTGCAAAAACTTACCTTCCAAAAGTTCTTGGAATGAAAGAATATCCTCTCAGTTATTCCATGGTATGATTATTAACACATGGTATGATTATGAGACATCCAAAATGATCATAATGTTATAAGACTATGTTTTGGTCCCATTGCCATCTTTTTTGTAAGAAACAGTATCTGGCTTTAGCATCTTCTCTGGTACAAACATTCTGGCTTTTCTGGAAGATGTTTTAAAATTTATTTGATAAAGAATATCTAAGTCTACTTACCACACCATTTTGTCAGTGGAAAGGCAGAAGTGACCTCTCAAGGCAGCAAGGGCAGCATGAGTAGAATACAGATGGAAACCAATGGGAATCTCACAGGAACTACAGAATAAAAGGTTGTACGTGCTGGGAGGAAAAAACAGGATTTGGGTTAAGAAAGAAAATCAAAGAACAAATACAAAATAACTCATGTTATGGACTCATTCCTAAAAAATAGGCTATGATAGGAATGAGACTGAGGAAATGTCACATTCAAGAAAGGTTAACTCAAGGGCTTCCCTGGTGGCGCAGTGGTTGAGAGTCCGCCTGCCGATGCAGGGGACACGGGTTCATGCCCCTGTCCGGGAGGATCCCACATGCCACGGAGCGGCTGGGCCCGTGAGCCATGGCCGCTGAGCCTGCGCGTCCGGAGCCTGTGCTCCACAACGGGAGAGGCCACAACAGTAAGAGGCCCGCGTACCACAAAAAAAAAAAAAAAAAAAGAAAGGTTAACTCAGATTATAGATACCCTTGTGGATTCTGGCCACAAAAGCAATCATGTGATATGTAACTGTCATTTCACTGAAGTAATTTATATCTGAAAGCAGAAAAAGAGTTAACAAATCAGATTAACATTTAAACAGGGACCTCCCTGGTGGCGCAGTGGTTAAGAATCCACCTACCAATGCAGGGAACACAGGTTCGAACCCTGGTCCGGGAAGATCCCACATGCCGCGGAGCAACTAAGCCCGTAAGCCACAACTACTGAGCCTGCGTGCTGCAGCTACTGAAGCCCACGCACCTAGAGCCTGTGCTCTGCAACAAAGAGAAGCCACCTCACTGAGAAGCCTGTGCCTAGCAATGAAGGGTAGCCCCCACTCGCCACAACTAGAGAAAGCCCGCGGGCAGCAATGAAGACCCAATGCAGCCATAAATAAATAAATTTATTTAAACAAAAAAACATTTAAACATATAAAACTACACATGACCATATAAATTAGCTACCATTAAGCCAATTTCCAGTTAAAGTAAAACAAATCGATTAGGGCTTATTAAGCAATTTATTAATAGAACTCAAATCAGGTTTTGTTTTGTTTTTGCAGATATAACAAAAAATTAAAAAATTACCCAGATAAAATGCAAAAGAAAGAAAATAAATCATATTGTCCTAGCAAGCTATTTTATTTTCCTTTATCCTTTGAAAGATTACTGGATGAGGAATCAGGAAACATGGATTTTAGTTCTAGTTACACCATGTAGGTAAGTCACTTACCTTATTTTCTGGTATATAAGACAAATCCAAATATTACAAAAAATATTTAAGAAAAAATTAACTGTTTCATCATTCATGTACTGAAAGCAATTTAGAGTGGTTTAGTAAGGGGAAAAAATTATCTGTATAAACATACTATATGCAGTAAATGAGTACTAATAAAGTATAATAATTGCATGGCTAAAAATAGATTCATGTCAATGGACACTAAAGACCAAGCAACAAAATATAAATTTACTGGTAAATGAAGTCCCACACCACACATGCAGTACTGTATTTTTGTGACTACATTACCAAAAAGCAAGCCATGAAATAAAGTTGCATTTTTATTAATTCCTAAGTAGGAATTAATTATATCAGACAAACCACAGTACCTATAGACAAATGTCTGTAGAAACTAATAAATGGCACAGAGCTGGGACTTCCCTGGTGGCGCAGTGGTTAAGAACCTGCCTGCCAATGCAGGGGACACAGGTTTGTTCCCTGGTCCGGGAAGATCCCACATGCCGTGGAGCAACTAAGCCCATGCGCCACAACTACTGAGCCTGCAAGCTACTACTGAGCCCGCATGCCACAACTACTGAAGCCTGCATGCCTAGAGCCTGTGCTCTGTAACAAAGAGAAACCACCACAATGAGAAGCCCGTGCGCTGCAACAAAGAGTAGCCCCCGCTCGTCGCAACTAGAGAAAGCCCGCACGCAGCAACCAAGACCCAATGCAGACAATAAATAATTTTAAAAGTGTCTTTAAAAAAATAAATGGCACAGAGCAAAATGTAAAGAGATCCCAAAATTATGCTTAGCATGTAACATATAACAAATATTTCATTGAATATTAGTCTGCTAATGGCCCAGGAATGAAGGTTTGCATCACACCAGGTAAAGAACTATGATCATCTGAGTGCCTGATGAAGGCAAAAGGAATACAGAATGGGTAGTGGAAGAGGGTAGTTATAAATACCAGCTATGACCATGTGACCAGTTACAGGAATGTAATTGTCATGAATATCTCCTCATTTTGTTATAAATAGGTTTACATGTATATGTGCGTTTATGTTTTCTTCCCTTTCTTTTCCCTAATGTAACATAAGATGTACTGACTTTTTATTATAGTATTTAAGTATTAATTTTACATCATAGTATTTAAGCCATGAGATATCAAGGAGAAAAGTAAGTATCACTTAAGGACTTTATCTCCTTTTCTGGAGGAGGGTTTAGTGCGTTTTTAGTTGTATGCAAGATAGTTGTAACATGTTAGGAAGAATTACGACCTTGTTATTGTCTTTATTTGGAGATTAAGTATGGGTTTAGGAGATGCATGTGGATGCCGGGTTAACACGTAATGATTAAATTTGTGTGTCAGCTTGACTGAGCCAAAGGGTGCCCAGTTATTTGGTCAAATGTTATTCTGAATGTGTTTATGGGGATGTTTTTGAATGAGAGTAATATTTGAATCAGTAGACTGAGTAAAGCAGTTTGCCCTCCTTATCGTGGGTGACCCTCATCTAATCAGTTGAAGACCTGAACAGAACAAAAAGGCTGGCCCTCTCGTGAAAAAGGGGAACTCCTCTTGCCTGACTGCCTTGAGTTGCAACACTGATCTTTTTTTCCTGCCTTTGAACTTGAACTGAAATGTTCAGCTCTTCCTGGGTCTGGAGCCTGTTGGCTTTTGTACTGGAACTTACACCTTTGGCTCATGGATCTCAGGCCTGTGGACTTGGACTAGAACTAAACCTCTGGCTCTCTTGTGTCTCCAGTTTATCAACCTTGTCTCTTGGGACTTCTCATCCTCCATAATCTAGTGAGCCAATTCCTGACAATAAATCTCTTCCTGCTGAGTCCCACGGCTCTCCTTATTCCAAACACATGGAACTTTCTGTCCAGTGTTTTATAAACCATCTAGATCTGTACTGTCTATTAAGAATGCAAGCCACATAAGTAATTTTACATCTTCTATTAGTTTAGCTTCAAAAAAAAAGTAAAAGAAACAGGTAAAATTAGTTTTAATATATTTTATGCTACCCAATATTCAAAAACATCGTCATCAAGGGAATTCCCTGAGGGTCCAGTGGTTAAGACTCAGCACTTTCACTGCCCTGGGCCTGGGTTTGATCCCTGGTCTGGGAACTAAGATTCCCACAGCTGTGCAGCGTGGCCAAAAACCAAAAAATTAAAAAAAAAAACCCATGTAATCAGTACTTTTAAATTATTCAATGTTTGGGGCCAAGTTTTCAAAATCTGGTGTGTATTTTGCACTCACAGCATACTTCAATTCAGAATGGCCACCTTTTAAGTGCTCAATAGCCACCATGTGGCTAGTGGCTACAGTACTGGACAGCACAGGTCTAGCTAGATGTGCTTCCCTCTAAGAAGATATTCAGAGAGCTTCTGCCTCTGGCCCCAAATGAACCAGTTCCAAGCAGGCCATCACTCCTTCCCTCTCTGTTTCCTTTGGGTGGGAAGAGGACACTCCTGCAAGGATAGGGAGTGTCTTTCAGTTAGGTAAGAGGAGCTGCAGAACTCTTCCTGATTACTGAGTACAGCAACTAAGAATTCCTATACGAACTCTATTTAACATTAAAATTGAACCAAACTGTGGTCAGAATGAATTGTCTTGCTGTTAAAACCAACACTGAAAATTGAGTAGCTTTGTACTACTGAATTCAACTGAGTACTTTGTTGTTACTTGTAAATCACACTACAGTCAAGATGCAAAGTTTACCAGGCAATATTCAAGTAACTTTTCAACTGTGTTTTTCCCCAGGTTACAGCAGAATTAGTCCTGCCATAACTTATTACAAATTCCAGGTTAAATGAAAACTTGTAATTCCTAGTTATGTCAAAGGATTGTAGTTTATGGTAAGTGATTCTCACTATACACTTAAAGGTAATTTTCTTCTTTTTCCCCTACTAGACATAACTTTCTTAAACTCACTTCACTTGCACAACCCACTAGGGAGATGTGGCCCTCATAAAGACCTTAAAACCCTCACGCAAATATCTTTTCCATTTCATTAATACATCAAGTTCGTACAAGACTCAGGTAAAGGGAGCATCCTTCCAATACATTGTATGGATGAAACAGACTTTTATTCTAGTGCAAGATAGGAATAAACTATTTTCTCCTCGTACAAGTCGGTTCCACGCTCCTCAGTCTCATTAAGTCAGGGAATGACTAGAGATCTATCTGCAATTCTCAGTACGTACCTGCCTTTGAGCGAACCGTCAATGCCAACTAGGAAGGGAGCCTCCAAAACTACATTATTTGTGACTCCTAGGAAGACAAACACGGGTCAGAAAGACTACCTATGAGGCATTGAAGGGAAAAACTCTCCCCTCCAGAAAGACTCATCATGGCCACAAAAATCGTGAAAAGTGATTCGCCCCCGACCCCTGGCAATGGAGTTAATTTCCTTCCAAATTTTCATCCCGCTTTCCTCCCAGCTGGCTCCCAGCCACCCAGTAAGAAAGCGGCAACGCTTCCCAGACGCCGTGCCCACTCACTGGAGAAGACCACGGCTGCAAGGGACCGCGACAGGTTCCAGGCGAGGTGCACAGAGTCAGCGAGCACGACGTGGCACTGCGCACACTGGAACACAGCGCATCTCTCGGGCTGCAGCCACCATGGCAGCCGCGGGCCGGACGGCTCCTCCGGCCCCAGCCCGGCGGGGCCGAGTGGCGAAGACCCTTTCACCACCTGCGTGTCCCACTCCATGGAAGTCGTAAGAGAAGGTTCATCAATCGTCTTCTTAGCGCCATCACAAAAGTCACCCCGCGGCTGCTTTGCAAAGCGCGAGCGATGCCTCCGCGGCCTAGCCGCCATCTTCCTGCAGCTGGCGCCTCAGTTTCAAAGACGCACCATGCCCCGCCCCAAGCTTGGTTCCTGGGTCCTCATTGGACAACGTGAGCCGGGTGGGGCTCTGCCGCGCACTCGTTGCCTGGACACGCCGTTTGGCGCCTTCGTGTTGGTGAGGGAGGGTGAAGAACGTGCGTCTGGTGGAGGGGAAGTCAGCCTTTCTATTGGTCAACACCAGGAGACCCCGCCTTTGAGGCATTTTTAACCAATGGAAGTGCAGCTTTCTCAATTTAAACTCTGTAACGTTCTGTTTGGTCAACGCTTAGAGCGGCGCAAGAGTTTTGAACGGCGTTTTTGGGAGTGGAGGACCGATCCTCTGCGTGGTCGCCTGGATTGCAGTTCGCCATGACCGTCCCCTCCCTGGAGGAGCTGGACTCCTTCAAGTACAGTGACCTGCAGAACTTGGCCAAGAGTCTGGGCCTCCGGGCTAACCTGAGGGTACGAGGCAAGTGGCGGGTGGGGTAGGACGAGCGGCCTCTACGAGACGCGGTGGGAGGGGACCGAGCGGGAATTCCAAAGGCTGAGGCTGCTGTCCCGGCCCTGGGGCGGTAGATTTGGTTCACCGAAGGGTCCCACTAACTCTGCAAAACCGAGAGGGAGCCATAGTTTTCACCTTATGTTGAGGCTGACTTTCCTGGGGACTCACAAAGACACCGACTCCAAAAGGGTTTGTTTGGTTTCGTTTTATTGGAAGTACTCAGTTATACCAGGACATCAGTTAGGAAACGCAGGCCCAGAGAGCTAAAGGAATGCTGCATCTAAATGCCGATTAATTGTTAGGCAGTCGCGGAAATAATTGCCTTGGCTTTTGGAAAACTCCAAACAGCTAACATTTCTGTAAATTGTAACAGCGCTCCAAATCTGCTACTTAAATGGGGGACCTGGAAGAAAGGATGACTTTTAGGGGACCTCCCCCGTGGATAAGTTTTTACAACTCAGCCCTGATTTAGTCGGATCGTTCCTCTATTGGTCACTATTGTGGTAGTGTTCTATTCAAAACCGGTGAGGTCTTTGAGACTTAAAAACGTTTGGGGGAAAATGTAAGGGTTCAGTTTAGGATTGGGGTTCTCTATATTTTATTTTCCCACATCATATTAACGTGTACCCTGGAGTTTTGTTCTGCAAGCTGTGGTATTTACACGGAGTGAATACCTAAATCAGTCCTCACAGATGTTTTTAAGTGGTTTAAACAAAATAATCAGGGCCCATGCACCTGTTGGGGCTGAATGATAAAGGGCTATCTTTGGAGAGATTTCTGAGCTATAGTATGTAACGGCTTCTCAATACTTCATAAACAAAATCTTAATTCCTTGGTTTAAATCTCTTAAATTTTTTTTTGCAATCTGGCTGGAATCTTTTATCCAGTGCAGCATCCAGACTGTCCTGGTGCCTTAACACTTGGCACCTTTGTCCATCTTTCTGCCTTTGCTAATTTTAATCCTTTGGCCTCAAATCCCCTTCTCTCTCCCTCTTCTTTATCTGCATGAATAATTTCCAATTACTCATCACAGTCCAACTGAAATGTCATCACTGACCTGGCACCTCGTCCCCTCCTCTTCATTCCCTTGGTCACAGATCCACCACCCGAGTGATCCTAGGAACCCTCTGCGCCTTTAAGGCAGTATAATTTCAAGTACTTTTTCTGAGTACTTGCAGGCTTCCACCTGGCACTGTGGTTATTTGTGTAGATACGTTCTCTACTAAACGTTAAGTTCCTTGAACAGGGATCTCATCCATCCACCTTGGAAGTCTTTACAGCACTAAGTGCAGTACATTTTATTTGGGAGGCGTTGGATACTTATTCAGAGCTACTATTTACAACCGCTTCTTGGGAGCACTGGAACAATACACCAGAGGGTAACTCCTTTGTGAAGAGTTACTATGGAGGTTTCCTACTTGAATTCGGCGCTCTGTCTAACATGAAGGCCCCACAACCTTTTAGATCTCTGAAGAACTGTTGCAACTTCGATCTTCTGAAAGTCCCACCTATCATTGTCTCTTGAGGAACCTGATTGGGGTAGCCATTTAATCACCTGTTTTCATATAAGTGGTATAGTACAGTATTTTGTGTCACTACAGACCTCATTGCTTGCCTAGCATACAGCATCTGATGCATAGTAGGTGTCAACAAATATCTGTTAGAGGTGTTCTTTCCCAGACAAATTTGACTATACCAGGCATTCTAATAACCAACTACAAAAAGACACCTTTGAGATGATGGGAGAAAATTAAACTTGGACTAGGTATTAAATTATATTAAGCTATTGTTAATTTTGTTGCATATGATGGTGGTATTGTGGTTATGCTTTTTTTTTTTTAAAGTCCTTACCTCTTAGCCAAATATTTACAGGTAGAATGTTACGATGCCTGGGATCTGCTATAAAATACTCCAGGAAAAAGAGGGGGAACTAGATGAAGTAAGAAGAGCACAATGTTGATAACTGTTGAAACTGGGTGATAGATACATGGGGGTTCATTGTACACATTTGAAATCTTCCATAATTAAAATGTTTTAAGTTACAGTTGGTACAGCTTAAGAGCTCATTAAATCAATTGCCTTTTTAAAATTCTAAGTGCATAGCAAAAAAATTGAATAAATTGTTCTAAGAAATTATCAAGACTTGATTTTTTAAAAAACTTAACAGAATAAGATTTAAGTAAATTTCACCAGTATGACAAAATTCAAAATAAATTTAGAAAATATTAACTTTCTTTTGAGACACTACTCTTTTTTAAAAAAAATTTTATTGAAGTATAGATGATTTACAATGTTGTGTTAATTTCTGCTGTATAGCAAAGTGACTCAGTTATACATATATATATTCTTTTTCATATTCTTTTCCATTATAGTTTATCATAGGATACTGAACATAGTTCCCTGTGCTATACAGTAGGACCTTGTTGTTTATCCATTCTATATATAATAGTGAGACACTACTCTTAATGGTAAGGCAAAATGAAGGAGTCAGTTACTAAGATTTATTGTACGGCCAGGGTCCTTTTCTCACTCTTGCAAGCTTCAATTATAAAACTACCACTATTTCTACCTTCTTGCAGCTCCCTTCCCTCACCTGGCAAAACTCCACACCTGATTAAACAAGCTATGTGCTTAATCCTTGCCTGTACTAACCATCTGACCCTGGCTGGAGAAAATCCCCTAACTTTATTGACTGAACTTAATTTAAATGTGACCATAAATTTAATTTATGATTTATTTGATTCTCCTACACTTCCTTGGTAGTCATTAATTTTCCCATTATTGAGGACAGTTATTTCATATCTTCTCACCTTAGATTGGCGCCCTTCCATCACTTGATGACTTTGCCTCATAGATCATAGAAACATAGATGCAATTAAACTGAGAATTACCTCATCTTTGCATTACCAGACCCACCTGTCCCCATATCCTTTGCCTTCCACCTGTTATATGTTATGGTAAAAGGCTGCGCCTAAGGGCAGCCTTGCTGTTTGTGCTGGAGATCCCATTCCCCGCTCTGAGGCTACACTCCTGCAGTTATTCCTCTCCGCTCCATCAGTTTCCCTCACTCTGCTGGCTCATTTCCATAATGCGCCCAATCAAATCTTAATGTCATCCATCTTTTAAAAAAGAAACAAAACCCCTCTCCTGACCCACGTCTTTTATCTACTGCCCAATTTCTCTGTTCTTTTCTACTGAAATTGATGTTTTTGAGGCCACCATGCCCTGCACCTTGCAAAGCTTGTGGTCCATCTCTATCTGTCTTCACCTGCCCATCAGCAGCATTTGGCATGATTGAACCCTCCCTTCTGCTCAGACCACTTCCTTTTCTAGACTTCTTTGATATTTGGTTTTCTCCTGCCTTGCTAGCACTTCTTTCCAGTCTCCTTTGCTAGTTCTTCCTCTGCTAAATCTCTAAATGTGGCGTATCCCAGGGTTCTCTCTTGGGCCTTCTTTTCTCTAATTGTGCTTCTCCCTTGGTGATCTTATTCATTCTCAGAACTTTAGATTCACCTGGAACTGATGACGCCCAAATCCAAACCTTCAGTAAGACCTCTCATCTGCTGACTTGTGCAATTAAGTGCATCGTAAACAGCATGATCAGGTCAAAACAATGAAGATCTATTCCCTGTGTCGGTAAATGATTGATTCCTCCCTTCACTGCCCACACCCATCCATCCTGGTGAGCTCTTCCTCCCAAGTATCAATACACCTGAAATCTGGCCTGTGTGCCATCTCCAGTGCTGTAAACCTGGGCCATGACACCCTCCTTTCTTGACCACTGCTTCAGGCTGTCTGCTGGTCTCCCTGCCTCTACTCTTGCCTTAAAATAGTATTCTCTTGGTAGTTGGGTGATAGTTGAAACTTAGAATATGCCATTTTTCTGCTCAGTTCTCGTCAAATTTTCCTCACACCTAAAATAAAATCCAAACTTCTCCAAATGTAATGTGAGAATCTTGGGTTGATCCTGATTTGGAGGGAAAAAAAATTTTTTTAAGCTAAAACTGGAGACAATTGAGGAAATTTGATTTTAGGCTATGTATCAAAGGACATTAGAAAATTACTACTTTTCCTAGGTAATGCATTAGAGGTTATGTAGGAAAATATCCCCTTATTTTTAGGAGATGTGGCTGATGTATTTAGTGGTAAAGTATCATGATGTCTGGAACTTATTTTCAACCAGCTTGGCAAGAAATACATATGAATGAGAAAGAAAGCAAATATGAGACGATATTAAGGGTTGCTGAATCTACGTGAGGAGTATCAGTGTTTACTAGACTATTTTGACTTTTCTATAGACTCGACAATTTTATAATAAAATTTTAGTTAGAAGGAAGAAATCTACACTGCGTGCTGTGGCCGGTAACCCTCTTCTTGACCCAGGTCACCTCTTTGGTCTCCCTGCCCTCCACTCACCCCAGTGTTCACTGTGCCCCCCACACTGGCTTCTCTCTGTCCTTCAAATTCACCAGCCCATCTCTGGGCTTTGTGTTCCCTCTGCTGGGAATGCTCTTCCCCTGCATCTTCACCTACTGCCTCATTCACATCTCAGCTCAAAAGTCACCGACTCTGAGAGGCCTTTCCTGACCATCCTAACGCAGGTTGTCCTCCCCTGCCTCTACCCTGAGCCTCCAGTTTTGTTTTTGCTTCCTAGCACCTAATGTCATACCATTTATTTTTGCTTACTTGGTTAATAGGGTGTTTCCCCAGTAGCCTACCTTTAGAGGTTCCTGGAGGGCAGAGACCTTGTCTGTTTTGCTCACCGCTGTCTCTCCAGTGCCTGGAACAGGTTGTTGAGGTAGTGCATGAAAATGTGCTGATGCTAACATCGGCACCTCCAGCTCAGCTCCCCCAAACATCACCCCCCATCATTCCTCCTGCTGTATGCCCTCACCTGGCTCTGCTACAGGCCCTTCATTTCATCACTGTTGCATATTTGAGGTTTTCATGGCATTTTAAGATGTTCTAGAAATCTGTACAACATAGAGCCTATGATTAACAATACTTTAAAATTTGCTAAGAGGTTAGGTCTTATGTTAAAGGCTCTTACCACCAAAAAAAATCCAAAGCGGGCAGTAGGAAACTTGGAGGTGATACATTTAAGGCAGTGATGACGGGTTCACAAGTGTATATTGATCTCCCAGCGTATCAATTTATATGTATTAAATATCGACAACTGTTTGTATGTCAGTCATACCTCTGTAAAGTGATTGAGGGAGAAAAAAGAGAAGAACCAAGAATGCCTAAGTTCTGCCCTGCCAATCACTCACTTCCCAGAGAAGACCCGAAGAGAGGTTCAAGAAACAACAGCAAGTAGAAAATAGGTCTCTCCTTTATTACTACTAGCCGATGTGGTGCCTGATATCTTGATGCACAGTGTTCTGGTAAAACTCACAGCCTGAGCACAGCATCTCCTGTGCCCTGAAAACCAAACCAAATCGGGATCTCTGCCATTCTCACCTGAACACATGGCTGATGGTAAATGGTAGGAGCAGAGAAGAGACGAGCCTGGTGGCTGGGCCCCCCTTGAGAAGAAACTCTCTGGCTCTCAACTGTATGGCTGGTGGAAGAGGAGGGAATGAGAACCCAGCCATGTGCTTGAGCTTTGAAAGCACAGGAAAACATAACCCATCAGATTAGTATTCTTTCAGGAAAGAACGGAAAGGGCAGTTCTGTGGTGGAAGGAGGAGCTAGGAGTTCCCTTCCCCCGGGGACCTGTAGCCATCCTCCTAAGGTGGCGCCTTTGGCCTTCCCCATCTTAGGATCCCCCACGCCTCCACACGTGCTTTACCAGCTGCCCAAGCCAGAAACCTAGGCATGATAAATTTCCCTGTTCCTCAACCCTCACATTCACACTGATTCTACTTCCTAGGAAAGTTTTTAATTCATTCATGTGGCCTCAGTCCCGTTCTAGCTCAGGCCGAAGTCGTCTCTGGCTTCCTACAACAGCCTCCTGGCCCTTGCCCTGTCTTCCATCTTGCCCTCACCAAATGCATTCTGCACATTATACAGCCAGAGTAATCATCCTGAGTAATGCAAAACTGGTCACCCACTGCCCTGCTGCAAACTCTGCAGACTGCCTTTGCCCCGAGGGTAAAGTTCATACTCTTTAGAGGCTTAGTAGGCCTAGCAGGATCAGGCCCACTTTCCCAACATTCTCTCTCACCATCCCCTCCAACAGCTCCCTGCTTCAGCCCACACTAAACTTTAGTTCTTCAAACTCCACACATTCTTACCTTCCCATGCTATTTCTTTACCCTTTTCCCTATGTCCCACTCTCTCCTATTTGTCCTTCAGCCTCAGCAGTTAGTGACCTCACATCTTTGTCTTAGGACTGGCATGTCCACTTACCTACTGAGGTCTACCCTAGCGGTCCAGGCTTTGGTGGCCCAGCCCACCTGTGTTCTCACACGACACCTGAGCTTCCTCATGTGGGCATTTACCCCACTGTGCTGTAATTGCCACTTTCCTCTCTGGCTTCTGCCGTGAAATCTTTGCGGACAGGGACCCCTTCTATCTTGGTTACCCTACTCCCAGCCTGCCCGGGTGACATTTGATGAGTACAAGAACAGGAGAAAATGTACAATGAATCTTTTGTGCTTATTTGATTTTTGGCTCTACTGATAAGGTCTTTAAACTTTTCTGCAGGCAGACAAGTTGTTAAGAGCCTTAAAAGCCCACCTTAAAAATGAAGCTAGAAAAGAAAATGAGAATCAGGTAAGTAACATTTTCATCACCTATTAAATAGCAAAACAATCAGTTAATAAATGATAAACACAGTTGGTGATGACTTAAGACATGCTGTTACCAAAGAGATTGTCATTGGTAATTGTAAATCCTTTCATAATTCTTATAAATGACAAAGCTGCCTCTGTAATCTATTGAATAAGATGTTCTCATACAAAGGCAAAGATTAATTACTAGTTGCCACATGTATGCCAAATGGTGTGAATAGGGAGGGAACTGGATTTGAAGTCAGAAAAACCCAGTTAAGTAGCAGCTCTGTCTTTTTTGTATGTGTGACCTTGGAAAACTCAAATCATTTATTCTTAGTTTCCTGGTCTTTGAAATGGAAATAACATATTTTCTGCTGAATTGAGGGTTGTGAGAATCACATGAAGTAGGGACTGTGGAAGTGACTTGTGGGAAACTAAACCACTGCTGATGGGAGGGAACAGTTGTCATGGCTGCTTCAGACCACCCCAAAGAGTTCTGACAAGGCTCAACACCTAAATGATCAATGAATGCTTCATTCTTAACTTGAAATACAGGAAAATGTTGAAAGGCCTTAAGGAACTGGGCTTCGGAGGGCATCCATTATATATCTTGAAATGAAGGTAAATAAAAACATGAACTGAGCATCTGAATTCCTTCTCTCTGTCTTTATAGACTCTGTAATTCTCTGTATTCCAGGTTATAAACATTTAAAAACTTTAAATGTTCAAAATTCTTTTTGATTCCAGGTTTAATTAATATAAAATAGACAATAAAATTGATTTTGGATTCCTTTAAGTTTCTATATCAACTAAATCAATATAGATATTTTAATTAATTAAAAAGTTTTTCATGGTTAAGGATACATATCGTAGTACCATCTGAAATCAGGATTTTACTTTGGGTGGTAATTGATGGGCTAAATTTAAAATGATCTATCATGTTTCAAATTCAGCATCTCAAGAGCCATTCCATTTTGAAGAACTTTCACAAGAGCAGGATGATAATCAAAATTTGGTCAGCTATAGAATTCCTAAGTGGTGAATCTGTCAATAGTGAGCTTAGGTTGGTGGAAAGAACTGACATAGACAGTTTATCTAAAGCTGCAGGAGTCAGCACAGTCCAAATACATGGCAAAGAGATCAGTAATATTACCAAGGACAGACAGATGGGTAAGCTTCCAGACCTCCAAATCGTCACCTAGGCAAGTGCACAGGTGTGGGTCACATCTAAGGAGCATGACCTTCTGGATGCCTTGTTCTCCCTATGTAGATTAGCCTTAACTATATGAGTTGGAGCAGCTCTGTATGTAGGTTAGTCTGACTGTGTGCTGGGGACTCTCAGAACCAGCTGTGCCACTTCAGTCTTGGGCTTATACAAGTCTTTACAGTTACATCATGGTGCATTCAGGAATGAACATATGCTACCTGATCACTGCTGGCCTCCCAAACTAACATACCCTGGTGAAGGTGTGTGGGGTTAAAACAAGACATCTCTGGGAGTCATGTTAATAGGTTTCTAAACCAGTTATAGAACCTCTTCTGTACTGTGTTAATGGGGGTAAGGGGGCAATAAGTACTTTTAAAGTGTGTCTATACTCCAGCAATATGTGTAACCTGAGGGTTACACTTCTGTAATGAGAACAGTTTCTTTTTCCTCTCTTCTTCTTCATGACTATCCAGGGAGTTGGAAAGTAGGATTCAGATAGCGTCTTTCTACCCTCACGTAAATATCCCTGCTCCTTTGAGTTCAGGCTCACCAATTCTCATCTCTCATCTGTTGACTTCCTTGTTGCTTTCCAGTGTTCACTGTCTCATTGCCTGGCTCATCATCTCCTGTCCTGACCTTACTTTGGGTGAATTCAAAAGTCCACTTGGATGTCCCTTACTACCCTTGCCTCCCTGTTCCTTAAGTCCTGTGACTTTCTTTTCCACTCTTCATTAGCCATCCCCTTCTTTGGGTATACCTTGGATCTTAGATCACTTAGAACTATTATTCTTCTGTAATATTTCACCTCTGTCTAAAAACCTTCCATTTTTTAAGCCTCCTTATTCTTTTACAACCAAAACATTTATTTTATATTGTGGTTCTCAACCCAAGATGTGTGGGAGAATCATTTATGGAGCTTTTTAAAAACACTGATATTTAGGCCTCACCAAATCCCAGGCAACTAAATTAACTCTCAGAGGGTAGGGTCCAGTCACCATACTGAAATGGACTGAAAAGTCAGGATGCAAAGCCCTCTTATTCCCTACTTCCATGTGCAGAGTACCAGTTGTCTACTACAGTCTAAAATGCTGGAAGGTTTCTCTGTAAGGAAGAAGATGACCCTAAAGGAAACATGATACAGAAAACAAATGAAAGCCTTGAAAAATGTCTTACAATAACCTATTGAATTACCAACTCCTGGAATCAAGCTACACAGACGATTCAATTAAGGTTACATAACAAGCTATAAATGTTAACAACTTAAAGAATAGATGACAGAAGTTGAGATAAGGACAGGATCTGAAGGAAAGTATAAGGATGCTAATATCTGCAGTTTACAGGATATGTGTCTGCAGTCATGGAACAAGAAATAAAGGTTTAAGAACGTTTAAAGCTGCAAAGGTAATAGAGTGAGTAAGTGGTATAAGTCTATTAGGAAGAAGATGGGGAGATGAGAGTGGTACAAATGAAGTAAATCTTAGTACATGAGGCACTGAAAATAGTTATTGAAAATACAAATGAATATCCCATCAGCAAATCATTAGTGATATGTAAGTAACCACTTAACATCAAACCCTAGAAATACGAAGGGTAGGGCAGAGAATGACTTACTTTTCATTATACTCTCTTTAGTATTTTATTATTTTAACTATATGTATGTATTAGTTTATTTCAAAAAATTAGAATTTACGTTTAAAAAGCTACAAAAACACCAAAAACAAATCAAGCCTCTCCTTTATCGTCTCTAGGTAGGATAACATGCTTAATGCCTTCCTCACACTCGATGAGGATATAATTCACCTATTTTTCCCTAGAGCTTTTATAGTTTCATATTTTACATTTAAATCTTTAATCCATCCAGATTTCATTTTGGTGTGAGAAAATGATCATCTTTCATTGCCCACCCCCTCACCAAAAACATAGTCAATGTTTTCTCTGCATCATGTGTTGAATAATGAATCCAACCATCCCCCACTAATGTGAGGTGCAACCATTGTCATACGATGATTTCTTCTGGAAGCAGTTCTGTTCAGGACATTCTGGTACCTGTGCCATGCTGTTTTGATGACAAAGCTCTTCTAGTTTATGATAATGCACATGCCCTTCTTCCCTTACTCCCTTATGTTGACCTTTAACAAGTTACTTTGGGCTCTCTAAGCCTCAGTTTCCCTACCTGTGAACTGCAGATAATGTTAATACTTGTCTCATAGGCTTTGAGGAATAAATGAGATAATCCATGAGAATACTTAGCCCAGTGCAGTTATGATATTAGCTGTAATTGTTATTAGTTATAGCATACTGTCTAGCATATAGTGTATATTCAGTAAATTAACATACTTTTAATAATTTGTGGGAATTCCCTGGCACTTTCACTGCCATGGGCCTGGGTTCAATACCTGTTGAGGGAACTAAGATCCCACAAACCATGTGGTGTGGCCCCCCCAAAAAAATAATTGGCTTATTTACACACACTAAGATACCTTTGAATGCTTTGCAAGCCTAGTTTTTTAGCTTGGGTTGTTAAGTGTTTCTTTCTGAATACTCTATCATTCTTGTCCTTGCCTATAATTTAGTGCTGGAGGGTTTTAAAATTATCTCTTGCATATGTAATACATATTTTTTATTCAGTTTAAATTCTGATTCTTCCTGAGCATTGTAACTCTATACATTGGACATGGCAGATTAATGTCTCTCTTTTTCAGGATGAAATTCAAACTTCTGCATCTTCTTGTGATGAGATTGAGGTACAGCTCAGCAGCCAGGAGCAAGCTGAGAGGGAGCCAGTGGGACATGTCACCAAAACAAGGAGAAGGCGCAGGACTGTCTACAGGAGCCCTGACTCTCAGGTGAATAGAAATGTGCAAACTAAAAATAAGCTACCACCTGTGCCCAAACTGGTATATTATTAGGGAGCCTTCTCTTAATTCCCTTATGATATCGGGTGGTGGCAACACTGCTGTGAGCTCCATGAAAGCACAAACCTGAGTCTGGCCTCATCACACCCCGGGCATTGGCAATCGGAAAGCACTTAGTAAGTATTAAGCACAAATTAAATGTTTGCTGAATAATATGAACATTCATTGAGTGTTTTCTTAAGTGAGGTGTAGTAAGTAAGAAGGAAAGAGATACCAACATCAAATATGATTTTTTTTTCCTCCTTCCTATCTTGTCCCGGGCCTCGTGATCAGCTGAGCTTAGTCTTTGAACAGTGTGGTCACGTGATTCCGGGGGCTTCTCCCACTTGCTCTGAGAGGACTCTGATTTTATTATCCTTTCATTCAAATGTAACTTTTACAAGATGGTCCTAATTTTTATTTTCTAGTCTTGTGTAGTCCCTTAGTCACTAGCTTGTCTAGTTAGTTTCTCCTCCCTAGGTGAGCAACCTCTGCTCTCCTAGAGGTTGTATGCCTTCCAGTGGTCCCTAGTCTCTACTATTCCCAGATGCATGTTCTCATGACATTTGGTGAGGCAGAGAACCAAATCTGCCACTCAAAAATCTTGTTCTCCTACTTTTCTTTCTTCATTCATTTTCCTCCTCAATTTGGTGCCTATCTTTGGAAGGCAGTGATTACTTTTTTCTTTCTTTATGTCTGAATATAAGCAATGTTTTTAATGATACGTTTTTAAATTGAGATATAATTCACATGTAACATCCTATCAGTTTCAGGTGTACAATGTAATGATTCAATATTTGTGGCGATCATTTCACAATATATATACAATAAGTCTAGTTAACACCTCATGTAGTTACAGTTTTTTTCTTGTGATGAGAACTTTTCAGATCTACTCTTAGCAATTTTCAAGTGTGATTCCTTCTTATTTGTTATTGAAATCATTTATTTTCTTTTAAAATCTGTAGCAGGATCATTCAGAGATAAAAGTATGTGATCCTACTGAATTCCAGAATCAAGAAAAGCATGAAAACCAGGCTCTCAGAACTATTGTAGAAGCTCCTTCTCTACCAAACAAGAGTCAAGATGAGAAGGCAGTGCCCTCAGGAAAAAGTGGAATAAATGGTATGCCAAGTAACTTTTTAAAAATCCAAAATTGCTAGGGTAACCATGTGCATTAATTTCCTAGGACTGCCATAGCAAAGTGCAATAAACTGGGCAACTTAAAACAACAGAAATTTGGGAATTCCCTGGCAGTCCAGTGGTTAGGACTTGGCGCTTTCACTGCTGGGACACGAGTTCAGTACCTGGTCAGGGAACTAAAATCCTGAAAGCCGCACGGTGCGGCCAAAAAAGAAAAACCAAAAAACACAAATTTATTCTCTCACAGTTCTGGAGGCTGGAGTCTAAAATCAGGGTGTCAGTAGGGCCATCTTCCTCCAAGATTCTGGGGAGAATCTTTCCTGGCCCCTTTGTACCTTCGGTGGTGGCTGTAGACCTGGGCTTGCAGCTAAATCTCTGCCTCCTCATCATGTGGCAGTCTCTCTGTGTCTTTTTCTTTCTTTTTTTTTTTTTTAATATTCATTCATTCATTCATTCATTCATTTATTTATGGCTGCGTTGGGTCTTTGTTGCGGCGAGCGGGGGCTACTCTTCCTTGGGGTGTGCGTGCTTCTCATTACAGTGGCTTCTCTTGCTGTGGAGCATGGCTCTAGGCCCATGGGCCTCAGTTGTTCTGGCATGTGGGCTCAGTAGTTGTGGCTCGTGGGTTCTAGAGCGGAGGCTCAGTAGTTGTGGCGCACAGGCTTAGTTGCTCTGCAGCACGTGGAATCTTCCCAGACCAGGGCTCGAACCCGTGTCCCCTGCATTGGCAGGTAGATTCTTAACCACTTCACCACCAGGGAAGTCCCTATTTATTTATTTATTTGGCTGTGTCCAGTCTTAGTTGCGGCACGTGGGATCTTTGTTGCAGTGCGTGGGCTTCTCTCTAGTTGTGGCACACGGGCTCTCTAGTTGTGGCACACGGGCTCTCTAGTTGTGGTATGCGTGCTCTAGAGCTCATGGGCTCAGTAGTTGCAGCACTCAGGCTTAGTTACCCCATGGCATATGGGAACTTAGTTCCCTGAGCAGGGATCAAACCCAAGTCCCCTGCATTAGAAGGCGGATTCTTAACCACTGGACCACCAGGGAAGTTCCTGTGTGTCTTTTTCTTTACATCGTTTTCTTAAAAGGACACCAGTTATATTGGATTAGGTCCATCCTAATGACCTTGGTTTAAGTTGATTATGTCTACAAAGACTCTTTCCAAATAAGGTCAGATCACAATTATTAGAGGTTAAGACTTCATTCATCATATCTCTTTTGGGGAAATAGTTCAACCCGTAACACCATTATGTAGAACTTCTAAGGGTTCAGCAATGAAAGCAAAAGTTAGAACCAAATACAGTAGGCCATCAGGTCACCTTTTTTTTTTTTTTTTTTTTTTTTTTGCGGTACGCGGGCCTCTCACTGTTGTGGCCTCTCCCGTTGCGGAGCACAGGCTCTGGACCCGCAGGCTCAGCGGCCATGGCTCACGGGCCCAGACACTCCGCGACATGTGAGATCTTCCCGGACCGGGGCACGAACCCGTGTCCCCTGCATCGGCAGGCGGACTCTCAACCACTGCGCCACCAGGGAAGCCCCATCAGGTCACCTTTAATAACCGTGTAGAAAGCAGAATATGAGTGGTATCTGGAAAGTTTAAGGCAGTTGATCTTAAGGCAGGATGAGGAGAGAGCCTGGCTCATTCTGCCAATTAGCTCCTTCTGGCCTGCTCCAGAGACAGGTACCTGTTAGCCCCTTCAAGTAGGACAGTTAAAAAGGATCTGCAGGCTTCCCTGGTGGCGCAGTGGTTGAGAGTCCGCCTGCCGATGCAGGGGACACGGGTTCGTGCCCCAGTCTGGGAAGATCCCACATGCCGCCGAGCGGCTAGGCCAGTGAGCCATGGCCCTGGAGCCTGTGCTCCGCAACAGGAGAGGCCACAACAGTGAGAGGCCTGCGTACCGCAAAAAAAAAAAAAAAAAAAGGATCTGCAGAGTCTACCTTCCCAGGGGGGTGGCCATTTTATTATGATAAATGTATATTTTACTTAGTCTCTAACCTCCTAAAAACCTCTTCCCTAAACTTTCTCAACTAAAAATTTGTTTCAATAAGGCCAGAAAACTTCAGTTCCCCTATGCCTAACAGGACTTGGTGCTTTCTGATTTCATCCCTCGGGAAGCCTGCCAGTTGCAACAGTGTTTCAGTGTTCATTTCCCCCAGCACATCTATCTGGGACCTGAGGCTTGCCTGAGGGGATTGGGAGAGAAGATGATCCACTCATGTCCACCAAGCAGTTAAATGCAGAATTTCTAATGCTGAGCCCTCCCAGTTACCCCAGAATTTTGAATGTCTTACTAAATCTAGAAAGTTAAAGAAGGTAGATGTTCTGATTGTAGGTCTGACGTGAGCCTGGAATTCTGCAGATTTAATAAGTACCCCAGGTAATTTTGATGCATATGCCTCATAAACCCATTTTGAAATCCTGAGACGAGGGGAATGTAAAGAAATAAGACAGGGTCAGAAGTGGGGGTGGAATTTAAAATATCTATTATTCCACCAATCTTGTTGTCAAGAAGACTTACTTCTAGGACCCAGTTTTGAAGGCATGGGAAGAATGAGGGTGGACCCTTTAAGTCAGGGTTGCCCAATGAAGCACACAGGCAGTTTGAAGGAGAAAAATCTGATCATGCAGTTTCTGGTGAGAGGAATTTTTTAAACTTTGACATAATTCCAGACTTAAAGTTGTAAGAATAGTACCAAGAGCTCCTATATATCGTTCACCTAGATTTCTCAAATGTTAATATTTTGACGTATTTGCTTTATCCTCCTCTCTATTTATATTTATATACATATCTACGTACATATATGTGTTATATACATTTTTTTCCTGAACTGTTTGAGAGTGTTTCAGTTATGTTCCCCTTTACCCCTAAATATTTGTGTTTCTTAAAACATCAGGACTTTTTCTCACAAATGTACAGAGAGCAGAAAGTTCACTGATAGGGCTTCTTCTTATTCCACATTACAACTAACCTCTGAGAAACAACCACTTGTCAAGGTTTGGTATAGTATCAAAGAAGAATATCCACAATTATCTGAAAAGGCTATTAAAATACTCTTCACTTTCAACCACATAGCTGTATATGACAAAATTCGTTTTCATATATTCAATCAAAACAATATATCACAACATATGTATACAGAAGAAAAGAGAATCCAGCTGCCTTTTATTGTCAGATGTTAAAGAAATTGTAAAACAAAAACAAAAAACGCTCTACTCACTTTTTTGATTTAGAAATTTTAGCCATTTTTCATAAATTATTTTAACGTATAGTGGGTATATTTTTAGTGAATCAATTATTTTTTAATGTCTTAAGTTTTAATATCTAATATGGCACATATTGATATAATGTACATGAACAAAAATTCTTTGGGGTCCTCAGTAACTTTTGAGAGTACAAAGGGATCCTGAGGCTAGAAAGTGTGAGACCTGCTAACTAACCTGTAGACAGACCTTATCTAGATTTCATCCCAGCAATGTCCCTTAAAACAAAGGCAAATCTCGACTCATCCTTTGCATTTCATTGCCATGTCTCTCTTTTTTTTGAATAAATTTATTTATTTATACATTTTTTAATTTTTGGCTGCGTGGGGTCTTCGTTGCTGCACATGGGCTTTCTCTAGTTGCGGCGAGCACGGGCTACTCTTTGTTGCCGTGCACAGGCTTCTCATTGTGGTTGCTTCTCGTTGAGGAGCACAGGCTCTAGGCGCATGGGCTTCAGTAGTTGTGGCACATGGGCTCAGTAGTTGTGGCTCACGGGCTCTAGAGCGCAGGCTCAGTAGTTGTGGCACATGGGCTTAGTTGCTCTGCGGCATGTGGGATCTTCCCTGACCAGGGCTCGAACCCGTGTCTCCTGCATTGTCAGGCAGATTCTTAACCACTGCACCACCAGGGAAGTCCTGCCATGTCTCTTTAAGCTACTTTAATCTGGAACAGTTCCGCAGCCTTCCTTTGTCTTCTAGCGCATTGACCTTTTTTAAATACAGTTTCTTGGGTCCTCTGACTTGGTTTGTCTAATGTTGCTGATGGTTAGATTCAGATCATGCACTATTGGCAGGAATCCCGCAAACTAGGGCTGTGTCCTCCTCATTCAGCACCCCAGAGGGCTCAGATGTTGGTTTGTTCTATGACTAGTCTTATCAACTTGCATCACCTGGTTATGGTGGTGTCTGCTAGGTTGCTCCTTTGTAATAGTTATTATATTTCCATTTGTAATAAGTATCTTGTGAGGAATGACTGTGACTCCTTAAATATCCTATTTCATGGCCAAGGTCCAAGCAAAAGCCCTATAACCCCTCTGCTCTATCCAGTCATTCTTTTGCCTTGTTTTATGGATGCATTGGGAAACCTTAAGGATGAGTGACTTTATAAGTAGCATTTCTTGAAAACCCACTTGCACAGTTTTTAGTAGATTGCCTTAAGCTGAAAAAGATACTAGAATGTGGGAGATAAGTAGGGGGAAATAGCAACCCTTATATACATGATGGCTTTAACTGGATTTAAAGAACAAAAGCAAAACAAGTATAGAAGCAAAGGACCTGAGAAAATATAATAAATATAATAATAGCCAAAATGATAATAGTGTTTCTTAGGCTGGTGGGATTGTGTGACTTTTATCATCCTTGTTAAAACAACTAGACATGTTCATAGCAAAAGTTCTGGAAAAGAGTTTTATAAACATACAGAAATTTAAAAACATCTATACAAGAAGCATAAAATTTCTGTCTACTTGAAATATGAGCTAAAATTGTGGTGATGCTGTAACTAATGCTTTGTGCTCCTTGTGCCGTCTCTCCTATACCTTGGCAGAGGCCTATCACATGAATATGCTCCACGTTAACTTACATTTCTTAATGGGAATAATTTTTGGAAATCTTTCATTAGTTCTGTATCCTTGGATTCAGGTAATGAAGGTCCAAAGATACCTTCAGAAAGAAAGAAGTCTCTCTACACAGATGGGTTTTCCAAACCCAGAAAAAATAAAAGAACTGCAAGCACTACTCCAAGTAAGTTTTGCACACAAAGAAACAAAATGGTGGTTGGCCCCCTTCAGGCTGACGCTGGCGAGGCAGTGCACTGTGACAGCCGAAGGCTCAGACACTGGCATTGGGGTTTGCGCCCTCGTTCCCCCATTTTCTGCCTGTGAGACCTTGGGAAACTTATTTATCCCCAGTAAACCCACGTCCTCAGTTTAAAGTGGGAATAATTAAACTACCTATTTCATCAGGTTAATATATGGATTAATTAAGACAGTTTTCCACTTCTGATTACCTAGCAGGGCAGCTAGGCTGTAGCAAGTATTCATGAAATATCTGAGAATTAATGTGTATCAAATACTTGGCACAATGTCTACCTTGTAAAAACTTATTATTTTTAGTAATAAGTCTAAGGGACTCCATTTCTGGACATGTAATTCTCTTTCTCTATTGCCTGGCACATAGAATGTTGACTGTGCTATATATTTAGAGTACTTAAAATGCTGCTTAGCATATTTGAGAAATTCTAACAATTATACTTAATAAGAATATAATTAGTTAGAATAGTACAGAGCAGGAGTCAGCAAACTATTGCCCATCTTGGCCTGTCTTATAGCCCTTGAGCTAAGAATGGTTTCTACATTTGTAAAAGGTTGTATATAAGAAAGAATATGAGACAGAGACCACAGTGTATGTGACCGCCAAGCCTAAAATATTTACTGTCTGCCCGTTTACAGAAAGTTTGCCAATCCTTTGCATAGAGCTTTCTTAGCATTATTACGTGTCAAATTTGTGATTAAGTAAAGGCCATTAATTAATTGGTGAGGGGAGAGGACAAATCTGTTAGTCTTTTCTTATCCTCTGGACTAAACGAAGATGTTAGTCAGCAGTGAAATGGACAACGGAGAGATGGTCAGTGTTCGATAGTTTATAAGGTGAATATGCTTTGCCCCTGACTTTTAAAACCTAAATGTTTTGAAATTAAAATTTTAGCAAAGATGATGCTGAAGTTGAATGTCAGGGATGCCAAGACAAGAATAAGTGTTAACAGAAAAACATAGGGAAGGTGAATAAATGGATTTTGTCTTGTTGTTAATTGTCATATTTGGGGAAATATTCTAGATTTTAAGAAGCTTCATGAGGCTCGTTTTAAGGAAATGGAGTCCATTGATCAATATGTTGAGAGAAAAAAGAAACATTTTGAAGAACACAATTCATTTAATGAACTGAAGGTATGCTGATAAAATTATGTTCTTAATGCCACTAAGCTGTTTGTTTTTAATGTTGATACTGTGTATATACAATGGTTAATACAATTAGCTATTATTCTACTAGTGGAATGGATTTGAGTCTAATGTATTTTTATTATTTTAAATTTGTTTTTGAGAATTTTCAAAACCCTCCAGATAAAGCAGTGAATCTTCACTATGAAAAAGAATTCTGTAAAAAATAAAGTTAAAAAAATAAAACATTTTTTAAAAATTTGTAAAAAAATTTTTTTAAAGTAAACAGTAAAAAAAGGAAAAAAAAAGGAAGAACTCCAAAGTAGCAATAAGTTGTTCTGTTTTCCACATTCAGACACTGTGCCTATCACTTTTGTTGGGGAAGGACTGATATATGGCTGAAGCCATCTCTCCCTGTCTCTGACCTAAAGGGAAAATGAGTGACTAGCAGTTGCTAATTTAAAGGCTTCCTGTCATAACTGAGCTCCCTGGGTGGGGGGCCTTCAGGCCAGGTCCTGCTGGACTCAAGCAGCTTCGAGTAAGAGAAGGTAAAGTCAACCCTGAGGCTGAGTTAGCAGCATAGTAGTGAGTAAATAACATTCTAGGAAGTTGATGTTCCTGTCTTACATGGTATCTGGTGTTAAAGGGGTGCCACAAAGATGGATGGGAAACATTTTTGAATTTAATAATACATAATAACCTGCCTATTTCTCAAAGAATTTGAGGCAGTTTGTGGTATTACACACAACACAAAACAGTATAAATCTGGTTTAAAAGGGGCAGAAAATGAGCACTGTTAACAGGTACAGTGACTAATATATCAGTCACTCAGTTGAGTTTTGAGTTTTCTGATATCAGTGCCAATGCGGAAATGCACTGGGTAATAAGTTCTAAATAATTAAAAACAAAAAACAAAAAACATACGGTTCTTAGAAGCTTACTCTTGGATAATAAATGTTCATTTGAACATTTATAAAACCACTGTTACCACAGTTGAAGACGCTGTTAACAACCTTCTAGCAAACAGTCTTGGCATTAAACATCTCCATTCCTTCATAGTGATCTAACAACATGGGTGGACAATCCAGGGAAGAGCTATTCAGTATGTCCATAAGAAGACTCTTAACTATTAGCAAGGGCTAAGTATCACAACATTCACAGCTGAGTATTGGGACAAGAGGCCCATCCCGGAGGAGCGGGGGAGGGTGTCCTGCTGATGCTTTACAGAAAGTAGACAGCTTCTTTTTCTGCATAGGCATGAGCTAGCTGCAAATATGCCTGTAAGGAGGGCCACTCGTTCTCCTTACCATGAAGCTGAGCCTACTTAAGTACTTGATTGAAAGTCAAGCTTTCTGTACTACATAATATGGATGAATTAATTTCCAGGTAAAAGTTAAGGGCAGAACAACTGCTTCAACCACAAACTTGATTGTAGCCTTGAAGATGTGTTGAATAAATGAGTAGCTTATGTTGTTTTTTAGTTGATAGCCCCATCTGAATGAGTTCTAAAATCCCACCCCAGCGCCACTGTTTAAGGAATTGGCTAATCAAATGGGTTATTTGGTATGATCTGTTTGGAGACTAGAGAATAAAAAACAATTACAGTGACTTCACCATAGCTAATATGGATTTCTTGACGGTTGACTTGTTTGGGGATTGGTCATTTGGAGAGTGATGGACAATAAGAAATGAGCAGAGATCTAGAGAGAATCATTCTGGCTGTGACCAATCTCTCCTTTCATGATTAGAGGATGGAAACCTGATTGAGTTAGTTGCCAAATGGCTCCCCTCTGCAATGATCTGAAACCTTGTGCCCTGAGTTGCCTGTTTACTTTGCTAACAGTAGGAATGATCAAATTTTTTGATCTTTGACAGTATATGACAAAATCCCAATTGAATTTGCATTTCTCTGATCATTACATGTTACATGTTTATGTTACAAATATTTATATGTGTTCATTGATGATTTTGCTGTGAATTTGCTTTTTCTTAATTTTTGCTGATTTATGAGCCACTTATCTATATTAATGACATATATTATGTATTATATGTTCTAAATACTTTCCCACAGTTTGTCTTAACAGTGTCTTACCTTGTGGAAGGTTTTATTGTTTTATCCAACTATCCAGCTTTTCCTTCTAAAACTGAGGGTTTTGTCTTGCTCTCCCTGTCCCAAGATCATAAAAATATGCTCTTATATTTATTTTTACTGCTTTTATTATTTTTCCCTATGTTACTCCTTAACCCACATTTTAATTTTTATGTATGGTATGATTGAGCTCTTTGCTTTGTTAAAACAGGATTTTTTTTGCTAAAAGAAAGGAAGGAATTGATTAGATACACTGCAAACAAAATAAATTAGTACTACTAGAGTCTGCGGAATAATATTCTACCTGAAAAGTCAGAAAGATTCATATTCAGTGCAAGTAGAATCATTTAAACATAAGTTGCTCAAGCAAAGGTATAGAGTTGGTGATTCTATCACCAGGTATACTGGAAAGTGGGAATTTTAGGGGAAAGACAGAAGAAGGCATAAAAGGTGTGGTTAAATATAACAGCATACTTAATACATCTAACCTGAGTTTTCAGCTTATAGTAAAGATATGTATTTACCAAATACTTTGGTTTTAAATTTGTCTCACAACAGGAGAATCTCTTCTGCTCGTATGTTGAAATGAGAAGTTAACATAATTCTCTAGTTTCTTGTATTATTTCATAGGATATAATCAGAATTTTTATGTCTTTTGGCTTTACATTGTCAATTTTAATAGTCCTATCTCTGCTGTCAGTGAAGTTAGATTTCTTCTGCTTGCAACAGAGCTTAGACTAATGATAGTGAAACATTCAATCATTCTTTGTGCTTTGACAGTATCTAGAAAAAGATAACATAAGTGGAACCCTTCCCTGCCATTTCAAAGAGAGCATTTCCCTTCCTCCCTTCTTTCTTTTCTTTAGGTTTTTTAAAAAGAACTTTAAAAAGCTATTGGAGAGCCAGGGGTGGGTAGGGGAGGAATTATTTGTAGATTCCATAAGCTTTTTACATAGTAGGTTTCTCTTTGAGTTTGTATTTAATAAACTGCATATCATGCTCTCAAAGGAACCATCTTTCCAAGAGAACCGATTTATCCTCCCTTTCTGGCCATGGGGGACTGTTTAGCCACCTGCTTTCTCTAGTTAGAAAATACCTGGGGACATGGTAGCTGGGAAAGGCTTTCTGTAACACGTTACTCAGCACAACCAGAAGTTTCTCTTAAATCAGAGTCACCATAGCAACACAGGTGCAGGGAACTGCTCAGCCTGCCAGGCAGGTAGGGTAGGGTGAGGTAGTGGGGAAGGAAGGATGACAGGGTTAAAAGTGGCGATGAAACGGGATAAATGGGGGCACTCTCTTGCACTTTGCCCAGACAATACTGTCTCAGAGGCCAGCTTTAATGTGGTGCGTTTCCCTTTCTTCAGAAGCAGCCCGGCACTAAGGGAGTGGTGGCAACTCCAGTTCCTCCCCGAGAAAGACTCTCTGTGGCTCGTACCCCCGCCAGCCAACGGGGCTCACAAGGCCGGCCCCACGCAGGCCGTAGCACCTCGTGTGTGAAGGGGCTGGCCAAGCGCTCCGTGCTCTCAGCAGCTAAGATGAACGTCAGGTAAAGAAGAGCTCCAAAATGGAACCAAGGGCGAGGGCTCAAAGCTTTACTGCTTCTAATACATTTCAGGTGGACTACAACAAATATTTTAGTGTTGATGAAAAAGGAGAAAGGATCGGAATAGAGAGAAAGATCAGCAAACTGGTTTTATTTATGTTACTTTTTTTCCCTTAAATTTGTGTTTTCTTGTTTTGTCCACCTTCCCTAAGCTCGCGTGTTTTTTTTTTAAAACACTACCTTTTATTCGTTTTGTTTTGGTTTTTTAATTTATTTATTTTTTGGCTGCATTGGGTCTTCATTGCTGCCCCCGGGCTTTCTCTAGTTGCGGCAAGCGGGGGCTACTCTTCCTTGTGGTGCGCAGGCTTCTCGTTGCAGTGGCTTCTATTGTTGCGGAGCACAGGCTTTAGGTGCATGGGCTTCAGTAGTTGTGGCACACAGGCTCAACAGTTGTGGCTCGTGGGCCCCACTGCACAGCCTTAGTAGCTGTGGCGCACGGGCTTAGTTGCTCTGTGGCATGTGGGATCTTCCCGGACCAGGGCTCGAACCCGTGTCCCCTGCATTGGCAGGCGGATTCTTAACCACTGCGCCACCAGAGAAGTCCCCCTAAGCTCACATTTGATTCATAAGTAAAGATAGAAAATAAGATCTATATGGATATTTTACCTTATTAATTTAATGTATGTCTGCAAAGATGTGTAAATAGAAATTTTTCCGTTGACATAAATCTAAAGTTGAAGCTAAATTCCTAATCTCCCAATGTAGTGAGCTAAAGAATTGACTCATCCTAAACTATGAACATTGTAACCTACTGGGTACTGCAGTAGCATAGCCATCTCATGCTCATTGATCCCTGTTTTCTTTGCTTGTGCCTTTCCTGACATCAGGTGAGCCCTCAACTGTGACTGTCCCCACAGATGAAGATCTTCAGGCTCCTTTCTCTTAATACCGAAATTTGATTCTCTCCTTTTTTAAGGGCGTTTGCGGCATCTAACAGAACTGGTGCATGGTAACACTTCCCCAGCACGTGCAATTATCTGACATAGTTTTTAAAAACTGAAAAATGCCCTTGAATTTGGAATTCTTATTGAGTTAGCCTGGAATATGAGGTACCTATACTTGGCAGTTCTGATTGTATTTATTAATAGTTAAGAACACCATGGTCGGGGGCTAGTCCTTGCTTCATGCAGGGTACAAAACAGCCTGGAATTAGTAGCACTTTTCCTACCGCATCTAATTTTCTTAACTCTGTTGTAGAGAGTCTTGAGTAATAATTTTAGATGTTGATTCAGGATCACCATCAAATCTTTAGTTGTAAGTCCAGAAGTTCCCTTCTGTTAACCCACCACCAACAACCCTATGTGTATTTATGTCTGTCATTACTGGATTTTCATTGAATCTAAGATACCATCCACTGAAGACTCACCATTATTCTATGAACCACTAAGAAAAAGCACTGCCGACTAACTTTGATGTGTTACCAATTGTAAAACACATTCTAATTTCAGAGATGTTAAAATGTAGAAAAACTCTGCATCAGAGGATCAATGAAAAACATTTATGGCAACTTGCTCTGAGTAGAGAAGGACTTATGTACCACCCAAATGAATGACATTCTTCTAGGAAGATGGAAGAAATGCTCCCATCACTCATTTGGCATAGCAATCTCCTGTTCCCTCAGACTTGCCCTCACTAGGAGGAGGAGAAAGAAGGGGAGCTTTTAAAAATACCTCCTAAACTATAACTTGAGGCCCATAGGCATCTCCTTTGAGCTCTGCCTTATACTGTCTTTGGCCAAGGCAGGGAGAGCAGAGAATATAAAACCATATTTTACAAATAACAGAAGTTGATAAATGATTTGCTCTAGCATCATTGTTTAAGAACATGTCTATTCTGTGAAAGAGGTTCATTTGTATAACAAGTATTTATTGAGGCCCTTTCAGTGCTTGGTGATGGGTAGGTGGTTTTGTTTAGAAGCTTGACCCAAGTACTCATGTCTTATACTCCACTGTCCTATTTAGGTTTTCAGCTGCTACTAAAGATAATGAGCATAAGCGTTCACTGACCAAGACTCCAGCCAGAAAGTCTGCACATGTGACCACATCTGGGAGTACCCCAAAAGGCCAGGCTGTGCTCGAGACACACAAGTTAAAGACCACAAGGGCTGAATCTGCTGCTGGTAAAAAAAAAAAAAAAACAGAACAAAACAAAACAACCTCCCTCCCACCCCCCAAAGTTCTGGTTTATCTTTAAACCATGTAGCTTCCTAATATGATTGTCTGTTTCTTTAAAGCCTCTCCATTATCTATAGAATCAAAAGCAAAAATTTGTCTAGCATAGTTTTCATTTATACTGGCAAGGGAAGTGCCAGAGACACAGACAAAAAAACCTGACATATCTGCCAGAGGACTCCATCCTGTCCTGAATGAAGAACATTCAGCCCCTTCTCAGGGATTAGGAGGGGGATTACAGTATTCATTACAGCCTCTGAATGGTTCTGCCAGACTCTGAAACTAACAGGACCCAGAGTTCATGGAATAAATGCCACACTATTGACTACTAGTAGATTGTATAAGCCAGAATAAGCCATATAGATAATCTTCTACACACTGTCTACTTAATCATCACCTACAAAGACCAAGTGGTTTTCAAAAGAACACTGCAATAGCAGTGTGAAGGTTTAAAAGAGTATCACCAACAGGTTAAGGCCTGTATTAGAACTGAGTATATCAAAATTCTCTCAAGAGTCCTACTGAATGTCAGGCAAGAGCCTTGATTACACAGGAAGGACTGCCAGATTCCCTGAGACTAGAGCAATCCAGCAAGAGTTTAAACAAGAAGAGAGTATTATTGTTGGTAATAATCAGTGTGGAGACTCTGAGGATTTTTTCATGCCTTTGACACCTAAATTAAAGATTGAATAGTGGGACTGACAACTAAATTTCAAGAGAGAGTACAGAGGTGGGATCAGAAAATTTATGATTCTTCCTCTAGATGACCTCTCTCATTCCTACCCACCCTTAATCGTTTCTATATCAGCAAGGAAACATTCCACATAACATTCTAAATCATCCTGTAATAGGGGAAGAAAGGGGCTTGGGCAGAGAGCAGGGCTAGAAAATGAAGAGTGGACTTGCCTAAGATGTGACTGTGTCATTTTACATGGAGCAGGGGTCACTGAGCAGCAGCCACCTGCCTAATACTGAGAAAGGACTCACAAATACTCACAGATAAGGACATGAGGCAGGAACTAAATGTTTGCCATATCCTGAGCTTTCTCCTCTAAGTAACTCAGGGGTGTGCCCAGTCGGAATGGCATAGTTTTCTTTCCCCGGTTATCAAATATGAATTTAATATAAATGAAATCAAACTAATTTTTTTCTTGTGATTTGCTTTATTCACTGTTTCAAGAATCATATTAATAAATGAGCTAAAGTTCATTTTCACCGTGTTTTTCAATTGTATGGATATATTTCAACTTATCCATTTTACTGCTCATGGACCCCATGGATATTTCCAACTTTTGTTATTTTAGTGTAGCTATGACCATTCTGGAACATATCTCCTGTCCATGTACACAGTTTCTCGAGAGTAGGACTGGGGCTGCTGGATAGTAGGGTAGACAGACCCTTACATTACTGGTTTAATTGTACTGGTTTATATTCTCATCAGCAGTGTGGGACAGTCCCATTGTTCCCCTCCCTGCCAACACTTGATAGCAACACAGTGGAATGGCTTCAGCACAGGAGTTCTGTGCTTTTCTGGGTTGTTTCACTAGGTGGTCCTAGATCCTAGTTGCTTGTTCACATATATGGGCAAGTGCCAACATTTGACGATGGCCTGAATGCAACCTGTGAGGGGAAGGGATTACAAAATGTGCCAGATATATGCTGCCCAACTGTAGCAAAAATGTGGCTTACCGTATTATACCATCCTGGTATATTTTTAACTTTATATTACAGAAATTCATATTCTTCGGTAACAGCCTTCATTAGTAACAACCAGAGCCATGGATCTTTTTATTTCTATGTGATTAGGTTCCTTGCAGGCTTTATATCTGTTTGTGTTAATGAAAATGTTACTATTAACAATATATAATTTTTTTAAAGGGTAGGGAATTCCCTGGTGGTCCAGCGGTTGGGACTCCACGCTTTTGCTGCAGGGGGTGCAGGTTTCATCCCTGGTTGGGGAAATAAGATCCCCGCATGCCGCATGGCTCGGCCAAAAAAGAAAAACTAAATTAAAAAATAAATAAATAAAAGGGTAAATATCAGGGAAGCAGCCTGAAAATTTACCCGCTTATTTTTTTTTTAACTGAAATAAACTTGATTTACAATGTTGTGTCAGTTTCAGGTGTACAGCAAAGTGATTCAATTACACATATATATACATATGTATATATAACTGTATATATAATCTTTTGCAGATTCCTATCCCTTATAGGTTATTACAAAATATTGAGTATAGTTCCCTGTGCTCTACAGTAGGTACTTCTTTTTGGTTATCTATTTTATGTATAGTAGTGTGTATATGTTAATCCCAAACTCCTAATTTATCCTTCCCACCCAATTAATTTTTTTTTTTTTTTTTTTTTTTTTGCGGTACGCGGGCCTCTCACTGTTGTGGCCTCTCCCGTTGCGGAGCACAGGCTCCGGACGCGCAGGCTCAGTGGCCATGGCTCACAGGCCCAGCCACTCCGCGGCCTGTGGGATCTTCCCAGACTGGGGCACGAACCCGTGGCCCCTGCATCGGCAGGCAGACTCTCAACCACTGCGCCACCAGGGAAGCCCTAATTCTTTTTTTAAAAACATATTTATTTGGTCTTAGTTGCGGCATGCCTGTGGGATCTAGTTCCCCAACCGGGGATTGAACCTGTGCCCCGTGCATTGGGAGCATGGCATCTTACCCACTGGACCACCAGGGAAGTCCCTCACCCGATTAATTCTTAAAACAGGATTCTAAACTCCAGCTGATCCTAGGAAATGTCACAATATTTAGACACTTTGGGGAGCTGCTAACAGGGGAACAGCTAAGGGGTTGGTTTTCCTCAGTTATTCTTTTCTCCTTTTTTTTTTTCCTTCCCCCCCCCACCCTGTGTCCTCAAGTCCATTCTCTACGTCTGCATCTTTATTCCTTTCCTGCCCCTAGGTTCATCAGAACCATTTTCTCCTCCTTTTTAACCCTATATCTGTTTCAGACTGTTCGTATTGAATTCTATTTTTAAGATTGAAAAGTGATACTTAAACAGGTCTTTTTTTCTAATTAAGCCCTTGGATCTTGTTTGTTGTTTTAGTTATTACCCCGTTCAAGTTGACAGCTGAGACAGCGCAGACTCCGATCTCCCATAGAAAACCACTGTTTGATCTCAAAGCAAGTTTGTCTCGTCCCCTCAACTATGAGCCACACAAAGGTATGTGGGAATGTTTTGATGTACAAGATTTAAGATTGAACAATTCCGCATCTGAGGATGTGAAAAATTCTAGTGACTCAGTGTAAGCCATACTTGGCGTAGAATTCCTGCCTCTGCCCCTGTATCCACGTGACCCATGATTTAAAAAGTGTCCATTAAGCAAATACTAAAAAAAAAAATAATTGTTCACTTACATTTTTATTAAGCAAAGACAACTTCTAATCAGTGTTACTACAAAGTATTAATAAAAGTTCAGCCAAAATCAAGAAACTTGGAAGTTAGGCTGTGGGTAAATGAATGTTTTCTTTATAGTTTTTAAAGGATCCCAAGCTGAGAATCACTGGTCAAACAATCTGGGACATTTATTGGCCAGATGTCGCTCTTGGGGATATATTAAAGTATCTTTACATCCATTTAAAACGTCAGTACTTAATGTGATCTGTCAGTGCTTCTGGAATTACTTTAAAACAAAACCTTCCTATAAGAATCATGTAACAGTGTTTATTTTTAAATTACTAATGTTAATGAAACAAATATAATGAAAATGTAAGTCTTTTTTTTTTATAAATTTATTTTATTTTTGGCTGCATTGGGTCTTCGTTGCTTCGCATGGGCTTTCTCTAGTTGTGGTGCACAGGCTTCTCATTGTGGTGGCTTCTCTTGTTGCAGAGCGCAGACTCTAGGTGCGCGGGCTTCAGTAGTTGTGATGCACGGGCTTAGTTGCTCCGCAGCATGTAGGATCTTCCCAGACCAGGGCTCGAACCTGTGTCCCCTACATTGGCAGGCGGATTCTTAACCACTGTGCCACCAGGGAAGCCTAAAAATGTAAGCCTTATTTAGAGGTAAAATCAAACTGAACCGTGGTTTAAGAAAACTTCTCCCACCCATTTTTCCTCCCCAAGTTTTCCCATCTGTGGCAACGGCAACTCTCTCCTGAGTGTCGGGGCAGAAGCCTAGGAGTCACCTTTGGTTCCTCACTCTCTCTCAGACCCCATATCCAGTCTATCAGCTAGTCCTTTCAACTCCATCTTTGAAACTGATCTTTAATCTGACCACTCTTCATCCCTCCTCCACTTTGACTCCCTTTGGTCCAAGTCACATCATCTTACCTGGGCTTCTACAAAAGCCTCTTTGCCCCACTACAACTTTAAAAACAAATCAGAGCACATCACTGCTTGCTTAGAACCTCCTAAGGTTTCCTGTCTCTCTCCCACCCTCATTTCATTGCCTTCTCCCTTCCCTGACTCTGTGTCAACCACACTGGTGTTTCAGCTCCTCAAACACTGAAACACCACCCCTCCTCCAGGTCTTTAAACTTGTTATCCCTCTGCTCCACCTGGAACACTATTCACACTGATCTTTGCACAGCTTGCTCCCTTGTTTTAATGGGGCATCCACTCAACTGTCAGCAACCGAGAAAGGTCTTCCCTGCCCACCCACCCACCCGCACTCTTTATTCCTCACCTTGTTTTACATTTCTCCATAGCACATAGCACCACCTGGTGTTATCTTACTTGACTACTGTCTACCTCTACCACTGGAAATGTAATCCCAAGAGAGCAAGGATTTTTTTTTTTTTTTTTTTTTGAGAGCAAGGATTTTTGACCACTTGGTTCACTGCTATGTCCCTAGCACCTAGAATAGTCCCTGGCACATACCAGGTACTCAAAAAGTATTTGTTATGGGAATGACTGATCACCACTAACTTCTACTGATGGTAAAAAAACCTGGTTGAGAGCTTCATCTGTGCTTGTTATTTTATATCCTAGACAAGTCACTTAATTCCTTTATGGAAGGGAAAATAAATAAGTACTACTTCAGTGGTTACTGAAAGGATCAAATGATATAGCAGGTGTGAAAGTCCTTTTTATAAAATGGTAAACACTGCAAATGGTAATCTTTGGTACTCAGAAGTAGGTCAAACTATACAAATAAAGTAATATATAAACATCTGGAAATTTGGTCACAGTTCTAAAGCCAACAAAATATTCCCACTTGTTGCATTCCAAATACATTTTAATAGGTAACAATAATGATAAACTGCACAGATGAAATACTACTTTAATATTAAACATTCCTATGCAACGTTGGGATAAACTACTTAGTTGTTATGGCTTCTTTTAATGTGCTGTGTCATGGGATTCAGTATTAAAGTTTTTTTGTTTTTTTAAGATTTTTTTCTGGCTTTTCAAGGATTAAAAAGTAGAAGACACTTATTTTTAGAGGAAAAAAATGTAATGTCTATCTGTGGAATATTAAATTGAAATTAATAGAATTATACTGGCAGATGTCTTTAAAAACAAAGTATGGGGCTTCTCTGGTGGCGCAGTGGTTGAGAGTCTGCCTGCCGATGCAGGGGACACGGGTTCGTGCCCCAGTCTGGGAAGATCCCACGTGCCACGGAGCGGCTGGGCCCGTGAGCCACAGCCACTGAGCCTGCACGTCCGGAGCCTGTGCTCCGCAACAGGAGAGGCCACAACAGTGGGAGGCCCGCATACCGCAAAAAAAAAACAACAAAAAAACCAAAGTATGAATGTTGACAGCAAGCAGGTAGCCACAGATGAAGAGAAAATTAGGAATATAAATACAGGAATCTTTTCATTTATTTATTTATGGCTGTATTGGGTCTTCACTGCTGTGCACGGGCTTTCTCTAGTTGCGGTGAGCGGGGGCTACTCTTCGTTGCGATGCATTGGCTCCTCGTTGCGGTGGCTTCTCTTATTGCAGAGAATGGGCTCTAGGAGCGCAGGCTTCAGTAGTTGTGGAACACGGGCTCAGTAGTTGTGGCTCGCGGGCTCTAGAGCGCAGGCTCAGTAGTTGTGGCACACAGGCTTAGTTGCTCCGCGGCATGTGGGATCTTCCCAGGCCAGGGCTTGACCCATGTCCCCTGCATTGGCAGGCGGATTCTTAACCACTGCGCCACCAGGGAAGTCCCAAGAATCTTCTTAAATCTGTCTCTGTCTCTGTCCTAAACTAGGAAAACTGAAACCATGGGGACAATCTAAAGAAAACAGTTCTCTGAATGAACATGTCAACAGAGTAAGCTTACACAAGAAAAGTTATAAACAGCCTCATCGCCAGACCAGGTAAGTACATAATTATCCAGTTCTAACTTTTAATTTTGAAAGACTGTATATAAAAGCAGAGTCTCTGAGGGATAAAGTCACAGTAATAGTGGTGTTTAAGAAGAGGGTAGAAGTGGAATCATATACAGAACTTAATAAAAGTACATGTGCCTAGGCAATACCACAGTGGGTTCTAATTCAGTAGGTTTGAGATGGGACCCATGTATCTGCATTGTTTCCAAAGCTCTGCAGGTGATTCAGAAGAGGACCTGGTTCACAGCACTGCTCTTACATGACCTATCTGCCCAAACAATGCACCTGGATGTCTCTCCAGATACCAATCCAGGTGCCCAGGGCACCTAAGGATGCACGTAAATTTCACACTCCCAGGGAAACCAGGCTTTCTAGGCTTCAGGGCTCTACACAGGGGGAAACCCCAGGATGATCCTTAGAGGCTTCTTTCTGTGTGGAAACCAAGTTAACACCAGAGTCTGACCTGGGCTGCAGCTGGTCCTGGTTTGGCCGATTCCCTGTGTGACACCCTCCTGATACTGGGTTAACTACCATTTGACTTGCCAGCTACCACCAAGACCTTACTATTTGCTATTAAAATCATTATCATGATTCTGGGCCTTTTTTTTCTCTTAATTCCTTCTCCCCAAAATCATAGTGGTTTAAGTCAGAATCCTGATTCCAATTTTAGCACTTTTATTAGACAGTGTGATTTTGAGGTCGACCTTTGACTTCCACAGGTAGAGGTTTCTCATTTAAAACAAACTAAAAAAAACTACAGGGGTTGGATTCGATCTCCAAGGTGTCTTCTGCTTCCAATTCCATGCTTGATTTTAGAATGCTTGATTTTAGATTTTAACATTAAAAACAACAAACCCCCCCCCACCCCAAGTTCTAGCCTTTTTTTTTTTTTTTTTTTTTTTTTTTAGTTTTTTTTTAGTTCTAGCCTTTTAACACAACAGTGACTTACAGGTGTGGCTTCCATCACAGAGACCACTGGACAGAGCACAATGTCCTGTAAGAGTGTGCTTTACACAAGTGTGCTGGATGTCATTTTAAGTTTGGACATTAGTCTAACAATAGGTGCTTTGAAGTGGTCTGTTTGGAGCTTCACTAGAGCCTAACGTATACCTATCCCTCCTTAGGGAGGAGCAACGGAAGAAACATGAGCAAGAACGAAAGGAGAAGAAAGCAAAGGTTCTGGGAGTTCGAAGGGGCCTCATTATGGCTGAACATTCATAATTTAATATCCCGTAAATATTCCTTTTCTCTGAACCCTCTTTTGTAAGTATTTCTGTACTGTCCTCTCACTTTAGCCAAAAGACCTTTTTCTGCTCTTAACTTTGTTCATATATATGTAGTGTCTGTGGCTTCTTCACATGTTTTACCCCTGAAAAGACATTACTACCTTTAAAGCTCTCAAATTCTTTTGAAATAGTTTTTACCTAAGCCCCTGTACAACTAACTCAGGTTTCTAAAAAGACCCATCCTGTAGATTCTTGACCTAGATTTTTAAGGTCAACTTCCCTCTGCTGGCTCTAACAGAACTTCAGTCCTCTTCTAGGCAAAAGCACTTACCTGATGGTAGCTAATTATACTACAGACTTTAGTAGAAATTGAACAATAACAAGTTATGAATAGGGTAAGCTGTGAAAGGCCACCTCTTCATCCTCTAGAGAACCTAGTAGTCTTACCGAAACTGTGGGCCATATGGGTTTATAAGGCGTCAATATTTTATCTATGTGAAATGTTTCATTTAAGCTTCTATGTACCTCTTTCAGATCACTTCATGTAATTGTCAATTACATCTCTTTTTTTTTTTTCCCCTCAATATATTCTTAAAAACAAAACTCTAGCTCATTCTAGCCTGGCTTATTTAGAAATATACAGGGTCATATTGAAATTTGAGGATTGTTGCTTTAAGGATTACTATATGCTCTGTCAAACTTATACATCTTACTCAATTTATGGAAAAGACTAGAGTTGCTTAGTATCATATTCATGTCTGTTGCACCTGAATGGAGCTTCCGAGTTTTGTACTGCTTAAAATTTTCATAAATAAAATTTTTTCTCATGGGGGTAGATTCATTCTTTGTAAATATAACTGGTTTCTAAAATTTAGTTGACCAGCCAAGACTAACAAGAGTTGACTTGTACTCTTTGTGTATCCTTTCTTGACCGTCCACTCCCCACTCCTAGAAGAAATGACTATGTCCTTTTGTATTTTCACAGCACCTGTCAGATTCTGTTATACTTATTGTTATACGTATATCGGCCCACAGAACATGGCATACTCCTGGGTGCTTAATAAACTCAGATTTTGCTATCAAGAGGCAGAGATCAGATCAATCAGGAAATCTGTGTCAAATACACTGCTACTGGGAAGGTGAAACGATATAACCACTTTGGAAAACAGTTTCGTAGTTTCTTTAAAAAATTTAAATGTACATCCACCATATGACCCAGCAATTCTCCTAAGAAATGAAAACATATGTCCACACCAAAACTTGTGTCTGCAAATATTTACAGCAGTATTATTCACAGTAGCCAAAAAGTGGAAAAAAATCCAGCTGTCCCATCAATGGATGGATTTAAAAAATATGCACTAAAAAAATGAAATACTGATAAACACACTACACCATGGATGAACCTAAAAAACATTATGCTAAGTGAAAAGCAAGACACAAAAGATCATATATGATTCTATTTATATGAAATATCCAGAGAATATAAACCTATAGCAAAAGTAGATTAGTAATTGTGGGGCTGAGAGTGGGAATGAAGAGTAACTGCAAAGAGGCACTGAGGTTTCTTTCTAGGCTGACGGAAATTTCCTACAATTAGTTCATGTAAAGACAGACTGCAGAATTCTGGGCATTCCCTGGCAGTCCAGTGGTTAACATTTGGCGCTTTCACTGCCGTGGTCCTGGGTTCAATCCCCGGTCGGAGAACTAAGAACCATCAAGCCATGAGACACGGCCAAAAAAAAAAAAAAAGACTGCACAATTCTGTAAATAAACTAAAAAATCATTGAATTGTATACTTAAAACAGATGAACTTTATGTTATGTAAATTATACCTCAATAAAGCTGAAAAACAGATAATTACATGAAAACATACAAAATAGGTATTTAGGCCAAGATGGATGGGAAAGCTATCAGCCTTTGTGTATTCTCTTATTTTAAACTTGGCTCTCGTTGGGTACTCTGGCTATATCATATAGTTTCCTACTTCTTCCTCTAAGATGACAAGAATTGATCAGTTTAAACTGTGTTAATCAGGGTCTTATTTTTGGTATATGCAATCTCTAATACTAAAAACGACTGGGGAAGCCTTGGGGACATTAGTCTATAAAGTAAGAACTGGTAAGGATCATGCATCTTTGGAGAACCAGCTATGCAGGTGTTATGGACTGCATGCTTGTGTCCGTTCCCTGCCCCCACCCCCTGCTCAATTCATATACTGAAATCCTAATTCCAAATGTGACTTGGTACTTTGAGGTATACTTGGAGGCCTTTGGGAGGTAATTAGGTCAGGCAGGTGGCACCCTCATGATGGGGTTAGTGCTATTTATATGAAGAGAAAGAGACTAGAACTTGTTCTCTCCATGTGAGGATACAGTAAGAAGGCAGCTGTCTACAAGCCAAGAAGCACTCACCAGACACCAGGTATCCTGGACTTCCCAGCCTCCAGAACTGTAAGAAATACATATGTGTTTTGTTTAAGCCACCTAGTCTATAGTCATTTGTTATAGCAGCTTGGGCAGACTAAAACAGGTATCTTTTCCCAGTGACTACTATAGCACCTTAATATTCTTCAACAGTCTCCTATCCTGATAGATTAGAAAACAGAAGAAACCTATAAGGAATAGAATGGTAGAGGGCCATAAACAGTCACCTCAGAGACTCCCTGCTTTGGAAACCACCTACTTATATAGGAACTGTTGCTAATAGGAATCATTCTAACCAAAAACAGTTATTTACATAGTACCTCTGCATCAGTACTTGATTCTTTAAGTTAAGGTACAGCTCAGATCCTGGCCCCTCTTAGCAGCAGCATTTAGCTATGTTTTAGGGAATACATACCCGCCATTGTTTGGATGCCATTAAAGAAGTACTTTATTTTTGTCATCGTGGATTCTACTACCCTTAGTTTAGTAACACAGAAATACTACATGATCTCTATTTAAAAAGTCTTGGATTAAGCTCTGGAGAATTTTCATAGGCAAATTCTTCTGTGTGGGCTGGATCAGTAAATACTCCAATAAAATCTATTTCTAGGAAGAATGGACCATCCACTTTATCAGCCAGGGTGAATCCGATAGAAGAGATCTAAATTTAAAATAGAGAAATTGATCAAAATCTCGTATGCTGATGTTGTTCCTGGAGTTTTAAAATTCCATACTATCAGCCCTTAGCAAGTATACGATAGTTCTCATGTGCCGTAGCCAATTAGAGGAAGTACAGGACTGCTTTTCTTTCCACATTCTACTTCTCTCTTTAAAGTAGTGCCAGTTAAGACTAGTAAGTACAACGTGGATGTCTAATGGAGGTTCCTTGAAGCTCTCCTGAACTCTAATACTCCTATTTTAAAGCTAAAATAAAATGCAGGCACGCTGAAAGGAGGACCATACTGAAATTCCTCCAGGATGAGGGTTAGGCTCACAGGATAGCTCTGAGTCAGCATCTGTCTAGGTATAATAGGAGTATACTTAAATAGGAATTTTCATCTTTCATTTGCCAGCCTTCAAAAATGGACTGAACTCATCCTCACAGGAGTTCTGTTTCACTAAAGATAATATAGTTCTGAGTGAAAATACAGGAAAATGTTACCTTGTCAAGCAGAAGCTGGTACTGGGCATCCCGGATTCTTCCTCGATTAGAGAAGAAAAATTTGGAGAAAGGAATCTGAAAGAAGAAACCATTGACTTCAGATCTGACATGCAAGCAACGGAGGCATCTGTTTAGAACTGCAATGATAAAATAATAACGGTTTAAATTGAATTTTAAAATTATCTAATATGTGAAGTTATAACAAGTGGCTAGTCATTTGGATCACAGAAAAAAAAAATTTTTTAATGAAATAACCTAAGTACTAGAAGAAAACAGGTGAAAACCTTTCTAAGCCAGGAGTCCCAAAGGAAAAAATGACAGAGAACAATTATAACTTTCTGATGGCAAAAACTAGTATCCTAAACACAAAACTTTTACAAATAACTAAGAAAAAGATTAAACAACCCAGTAGAAAAATGGGGATGGGAGAAATAGGCACATCTGTATACTGCTGGTAGGAGTGCAAATTAGTCCAACTCTTTTAGAGAGCAGCAGCTAGCAACTGTGGTAGGCAGGATTCTAAGATGACCCCCAAGATTTCCACCTAGTGGAAATCACCTTCTTCCAGGGATTCAAACACAAATCTCAGTGCTGCTGTGAAGGGACTCTCCCGAAGTCTGGTCCCAAATCAGTTGACGTTAATATAGGGAAGATTATCCTCTGTAGGTCTGACTTAATCACTTGAGCCCATAAAAGTGCCTGGTAAAAGAGGTCAGAAGAATGAGAGGGATTCAAAGGGGAAGGTCAAGGGGATCCTCCACTGCTGGCTTTGAAGATGGAGGGAGCTAAATAGTAAAGAATGTGGACAGCTTCTAGGAGCTGAGAGTGACTCCCAGCTGACAACCAGTAAAGAAACCAAGACATCATTACAATCACAGGAACTAAATCTGGCCAATAACCAGAGTGAGCTTGGCAGTGGATTCTTCCCCAGAGCCTCTGAAAAGAAGTACAGCCCAGATGACACCTTGATTTCAGCCTTAGAAAGCCCTGAGCATTGAACCTGGCCACAGGGTGTCCCAAACCATGACTTACAGAACTGTGCAAAGTTTGTGGTAATTTTTTATGTAACAATAGGAAACTAACACAGCAATATCTAGCAAAATTTGAAATGCCGTAACTTGATCTGACAGTTTCACTTTTAGGAATTTATATTACAGATAAACTCTGACAAACACATAAAGATACAGCTTTTCCTAATTAAAAAAAAAGGTAAAATAGGGGAATAGTTCAATAAATTATAGTGCAACCATACAACTGAATACTATGCAGCTATTTTAAAAAATGAAGTAGATCTATACATGATGCTGTGGGAAGACCTCCACAATATATTAGTAGTAAAAAAGTAAGAGATAAACAAAATCTATAGTATAAATATCATTTATGTTATTAAATACAACTTTTTTCTTGGCCACACTGTGTGGCTTGCAGGATGTTAGTTCCCTGACCAGGGACTGAACCTGGGCGCTGGCAGTGAAAGCCCCAACTCCTAACTACTGGACCACCAGTGAATTTCCCCTAAAAACAAATTTTTTAAATGCCTAAAAAAAAACTAATAAAAAATTTACTATAGCAACTGGGAACAACCCAAGTATCTATCAATAAGGACTAGTTCAATCAGCTGAGATATCCATATAACAGAAAATACCAAACAAAATAACAAAGAATGAAAAATAATTCCATGTAGTGATATGGAAGCTCTCCAGGATCTAAATTTTAAAAATATAAACTGGCACAGAAGACACATAAAGTATGCTATATTTTTTGAGTAAAAAAAGGGAGAAAATAAGTGTATGTGTATATATACTTGCTTATATTTGCTTAAAAAAACTAAATCTATGGAAGAAACTAATAAATGTGGTTACCTATAGAGGGTGAGGGCAAAAAGGGTGGAGAGAGAACTGAGTGGGAGTGAGACGTTTTTGTACATCTTTTTATATTATTTTGATTTTTGAGCCAAAAAATAAAAATGAGTTAAAAAAATAAAATGTACTGTTCAGATTATCACCAAAAACACTTGCTGACATAAAAGCAAACTCAATTCAAAGCTCATTTAATAAAGCACCACTGCACAAGATCATGTTCCTCACACAGCAAATCCAAGTGCAGTCAACATCCTCAGTTCACGGGCTCCCTTCATTTCTGTTACATAAACCTGAAAGGGACCCTGCACCCCCAGCCTCCAGTCAGTTCCTCATTTTTGCATCCTGGTTGGGCACTTCATCTACCTCATTATTCAAAATATATTTTGGAAACAGAATCAATACTACCTGCTCACCATTCAAGGAGCATGAGCCACCCACCCCACTGGCCTTTTGTCTTTTTGTCATGTAATTTGCTAAGGCCACTGTCCACATCAAGGGAATTTTTTAGCCTGGAAAAAAAATGAAGCTAAGAAGAAGCATTAAATTGTACAGCTTGCATAAAAAGAAAAGGATCAACAGTTGTTTTCTCTCTACAGATGACAGAAAACTAGCATGCATAATTTTTCCATCATTTTCCTCTGTTTTCTTTCTCTAAGCATAGTAAATATTTGAGCATCTCACTTCTATTTACTAAAGGAGAATTATTCATGAAGACATGGACAGCAATGAATAACATTTAATTTTTAAAAATCTCTTCCCTGGGACTTCCCTGGTGGCACAGTGGTTAAGAATCTGCCTACCAATGCAGGGGACATGGGTTCGAGCCCTGGTCCAGGAAGATCCCACATGGTACCTAGCAACTAAGCCCGTGCGCCACAACTGCTGAGCCTGCGCTCTAGAGCCTGCGAGCCACAACTACTGAGGCCTGTGTGCCTAGAGCCTGTGCTCTGCAACAAAAGAAGCCACTGCAATGAGAAGCCCGTGAACTGCAATGAAGAGTAGCCCCCGTGTGCTGCAACTAGAGAAAGCCCACGTGCAGCAATGAAGACCCAACACAGCCATAAATAAATAAATTTATTAAAAAGATAAAAATCTCTTCCCCAACACTTCCTTTAATAATTTAAAGAGGGACTTCCCTGGTGGCGCAGTGGTTATGAATCCGCCTGCCAATGCAGGGGACGCAGGTTCAATCCTTGGTCCGGGAAGATCCCACATGCCATGGAGCAGCCAAGCCTGTGTGCCATAACTACTGAGCCAGCGCGCTAGAGCCCACAAGCCACAACTACTGAGCCCGCATGCCACAACTACTGAAGCCCACGTGCCTAGAGCCCACGCTCCACAACAAGAGAAGCTACCGCAATGAGAAGCCCATGCACTTCAACAAAGAGTAGCCCCCTCTCACTGCAACTAAAGAAAGCCTGCGTGCAGCAACTAAGACCCAACACAGCCAAAAATAAAATTTTAAAGTAATAATAATAATTTAAGGAAAGATGTTGCAAACAACTATCATTTCCAGCCAAAGATTAGAACTACATGTATTTTCAGGAAAGAAAGTAATAGTCAATGATTATACTGGCAAATAATTTGGCAATGTGCATCAAAGGCCTTAAAAATGTACATATCATTTATTCTAGGAATTTTATTTCCGGAAATACATCTAAGAAAATATTTAAGGATATTTACCTCAGAGTTTGGTATAAGAGTGAAAAACTCTGAAAACAATCTAAATGTACAACAATAGAGGATGGATTAAGTAAATTGTGTCTATTTACATAATATGCAGATATCAAAAATGATGTAGAAATATATTTCAACAGAAAGTTGTATATAAAATTCAGTTCAGTGAACAATGTATGTTATAAAATAGCACTGGCACAATACAATTCTTGTAAAAAAAAAGTGTAAATAGAAAAGTCTGAAGGTGCATACTAAAATAAAAATAGTATTTTACCTCTGGGTAGTGGTACCACAAGATTTTTTTCCTTTTCTGCATTTTCTAAATTTTCTATAATGAGATATTGTTTTATTTAGTAATTTGTTATAAGTATTATTTATATACAAGCGTTACATACATAATAATTTTGTGGTTATACATCTGTATTAGTGTATAAATATGTATCTATTATATGCTAGGCATTGCACTGTTCTAGGTGCAGGGGAAACAGCTATGAAGGATACAGACAAAGTCCCTGCTCTCAGAACTTACAGAATTTATGTTCCAGAGGAGCCTGGTAGAGAGTGACAATAAACAAATAGACAAGTGAATGAAAAAGATAATTTTACTTAGTGATAAGTTCTATGAAAAAATTAAACAGGATGTTGTTATTGGGTGAGAAGGTGCAACTCTAGCTAGAAGGATCAGGAAAGGCCTCTCAGAGGTGGCTTTGGAGCTGAGAGGTAAATAATAGGAAAGAGGAAGCAGGTGAAGACGTGGGAGATGGGAGAAGAGCACGCCCACAGATACAGCATGAAATACAAAGGCTCTGAGACAGAAGTAGTTTGTTGGGTTTGACACACACAAAAGGGGCCAGTATGGAGGAGGGATGGGGGAGGACAGACTGAAGATGAAGACAGGGGTCTGCTACTGTAGGCCCCGTAGGCCATGTTAAAGAGTTTGGACTGTATTCTAATAAGGGGAGACCACTGGAGGGTTTTAAGCATGTGAGTGATGTAATCTGAACTATGCTTTAGAAAGATCACTCTGGCTGCTGTGTGCAGAGTGGACTTTAGGAGGCAAGAAGACAAAGAAGGATATCAATAAAGAAGCTCTTCTAGTAGTCCAAAGGCCTGGACTAGGGTGAGATTGGAAGAGATGGCTAGAAATGGTCAGATTCTAGGTGTATTCTGGAAGGATAGGTGAGCGAATTTGTTAAAAGACTAGATGCGGTGTGGGGGAGAAAGGGATCCAGGATGAACCCTTAGGTTTAAGTATGAGCAAAATGGGGACTTTCTTTTGAATTTATGGATTAAAAACCTTCAGAAGGCAGAAGAAAAGAATGGGCACCTGATTTTGCCCTCACTCCCTAAATTTCCACTATTTTCCTCCTGATTAACATTTTTTACCTTCTAAAAGTTTTTTCTCCCTACAAAATAAGATTGCCTTATATTACCAAGAAATAAACAAAACCAAAAATGTTGATAACTGTAAAGTATGAAGTATTTATTCCTCTTAAGGGAGCCTTTCTGCTCAGCTAGGGACACTAGCTTAGTACAGTTGCCTGGAAGAGATGATATGGCCAGAACTTAAGAAGAAATACCTATAGTACTGATAATTGTGCACAGGGCAGAGATGGACCCATGACTCAGCATGGGTCCACATCCTTATCAAAAATATTTACTGGTCAGTAAGCTAACATTTATATTAATAAAAGAAAAAGTCAGACTTCCCTGGTGGCATAGTGGTTAAGAATCCACCTGCCAATGCAGGGGACACAGGTTTGATCCCTGGTCTGGGAAGATTCCACATGCCACAGAGCAACTAAGCCCACACACCACAACTACTGAGCCTGTGCTCTAGGGCCCGCGTGCGGCAACTACTGAGCCCACGTGCTGCAACTACTGAAGCCTGCGCACCTAGAGCCCATGGTCCGCAACAAGAGAAGGCACTGCAGTGAGAAGCCTGCGCACGGCAACAAAGAGTAGCCCCTGCTCGCCACAACTAGAGAAAGCCCATGCTCAGTAACGAAGACCCAACGCAGCCAAAAAAGAAAAAAAGAAAAAGTCAATTATGTAAATCTTGCCCTTAGGTCCTCTTCCTTCTTTCCTTTCCCACACTGTCCAAGAGGAATTAATAAGAAAAAAAAAACAAACTACAATGTAACCATGATCTCATAAGACCTCATTTTCATACACAGTAAAGACTTACGCTGTTACCTTGACTTCCTGCCAGTAGGGCCCCCCACGGGTGAACATGAAGTAACTGTACATCTGATCCTTCCTCTGGATTATATCCGTGTCCTCCCTGATATTCACCATCCAAGGTCGACCATCCCCACGGACACGAAGATACAGAGTGTTGAACTGGGACCAATCATAAAACCTCTTCCTCTCAAAAGGGCCCTAAGGTATAGAAAGGAAAGTTAATTTCACCTCATTTTCCACTATTAGCAAAATGTGAGTCATCACCTTTTACAGCATCAAAAGGATCAACAAGCCATTTCTCTGCTTTTTTCTGCTTCCTACCGCGGTAAGGAGGCAGATAAATCTGGTGATTCTTATTTTAGTACAAAATACTGACCTAGTTAAATGTTTCTAAGGTAATGTTCAAGACCTGATTGGCCCAGGACAGTGTTTACATGGGGTAGACACTCACTTGTGTCACTGAACGGAAATGAATTACTGTATGTACTTTCTTTCCCAGGGCCTAGGAAGCAGTGGCTTCTGACTGGGCCATTTTATGACAACTGCCCTCCCATAAATCAGAAAACTATGAAAGACCTCAAGTTTTAAAACTGGTATTTTTTTGACAACACCTACCATCCATTGAAAATATACATTAATCACTCTGCATGCATAATTTAATCCTCACAACAGCCCTGAGATAGGTACTATCATTGTACTCCATTTTACAGATGAAGAAACTGAGCACTCAACCAGTAAGTGGTAGGTCCAGTGCTATTTAACTCCAAAATCTATGTTCTTAACAACTACCTAAATTGTCTCTGAAAGTAGAACGTAGTGTTAATTTCCAAAGGTGTTTACAGCAATCTCAGAGCTAATCGGATTTCAAGTATAACAGTGCTCAGATACGAACTATTACTTACTAATCATGTAATTTTAGACAAGCTACTAAATCTCCCCAAGCCTGTTTCCTCAGCTGTAAAACTGGGATGGTTATACCTTACAGGATTGATGTGGGGAATAAAAGGGATAATGTATATAAAGTAATTAGCACAAGGACTGGCAGGGTAACTTAATAAATGTTATTGACTACTTTCATTATTGCACAGTACATCATAGAATTATTTTCTACTGTGGGCTGACCAAATCCATTCTGTGGATTTTCAGGGCCTGAAAAACAAAATCTTGTACACATAGTTTATTACCTCTGAAAGAACATGAACCTTGCTTTTTCATCATTATCTGGAGAGAGGGAGCCTAATACTATTCCTATCATTTGCCTTTCTCCTTAAAACACCATAACCAAGGGACTTCCCTGGTGGTCCAGTGGCTAAGACTCCGCAATCCCAGTGCAGGGGGCCCAGGTTCGATCCCTGGTCAGGGAACTAGATCCTGCATGCAGCAACTAAGAGTTCTCATACTGCAACTAAAGATCCCACATGCCGCAACAAAGATCCCGCTTGCTGCAACTAAGACCTGGCACAGCATGCATGCATGCATGCATGAATGAATAAGTAAATATTAAAAAAAAAAAAAAAGGGCACCACAACCAAGCAAACACCCATGGGCTGTGGCCACAGCCGGGCACAGGAACCTGTCCAGAGCAGCCCTGAAACACCTGATCAGCATTGCAAAAAGCAACAGGCTGGTAGCAAGACAAAGGAGCTGACCTAAGTAGCCTTGGAAAATTGTGTTCTGACTGGAAACCAAAAGGCTAAAGACAAAAGAAACTATACATAAACATTGTACTGTAGTTGGTAAAGTTGTTTCTCACAGGGTTATGGGTTAGAAATTCTGAAACTGCTTTATTTATTTATTTAATTTCTGGCTGTGTTGGGTCTTCGCCGCTGTGTGCAGGCTTTCTCTAGTTGCGGCAAGCGGGGGCTACTCTTCGTTGTGGTGCATGGGCTTCTCACTGCAGTGGCTTCTCCTGTTGCGGAGCACAGGCTCTAGGCGTGCAGGCTTCAGTAGTTGCAGCACGCAGGCTCAGTAGTTGTGGCTCACGGGCTCTAGAGCGCAGGCTCAGTAGTTGTGGCGCACAGGCTTAGTTGCTCTGTGGCATGTGGCATCTTCCCGAACCAGGGCTCGAACCCGTGTCCCCTGCATTGGCAGGCAGATTCTTAACCGCTGTGCCACGAGGGAAGCCCTGAAACTGCTTTACATGTACTCTTGGGTCGAATTAATAAATGTATAGTAAGTGGCGGGAGACAGGCTTCACACCGTTACAGAAGTTATCAATAAACAAGAGGGAGGAAGCTAGAATAAATCATGTGGTACCGGATTAGAGTCAAAGCATCAGTATGAACTCATACTTAGCTTAATATAGATATAGAAATAGTTACAGATGTGTGTTTCCATGAGTTGGTATGCATACATATATTTCCTAGCTGTGTCCACTGAGAGGTCCTAGAAATAGTGTCAATCCAGAAGCAACAAGCATACTCAGCATCCAGATCTTGGTTTCCAACTCCATCTTCCAAAAAAAAAAGAACCAGGGCTCCTTTGAGAAATGGCTAATTCTAGGGTTGGAACAGAGGAAATACAAGATGAGCTTACAGCACCTTGTAGTGCCAAAAAGTGCTCAAAAACACAAAAGGATGGGGGCATGTCAAAGGGACACGGCCAACCTGAAAGAGCTCCCAGTGGCCAAAGCTGGAACAATCTGAGCAACAAAATAAATAACATAGTATTGGATTATAACCCAAAGTGTGAGTCCATACTAAATGACTGAATAAATAAATAAATGTGGGAGAAGAAACAAATCTTCCTTTCTGAAAAATCCCAAATAATTTATGTAAATACTACCCCTTCCAGGAGCTAGAACTTAATCCCACACCCTACCCCATGCCTTGAATGCAGGGTACACTTAGTGACTTGTTTCCAAAGAACAGAATATGGAGGGGAAAAAAAAAAAAGTAACTTAACAATGGAGTAATCTGGCAAATACTACCTTGAACAGGTGATCAAGGTTAACACATCAGTGATAAGTCATGCTACTAGCATGTACCCTAATACGATGAGAAGGGTACTTCAACTCTGTGCTGTTCTTCCTAAAAACCCAGAAAACCCAAGTCTAACCAGGAGGGAAAAAAATCAGAAAATCCCAAATTGAGGATCATTCTGCAAAATACCTGACCAGTATTTCTCAAATCCTCATGAAAAATAAGGAAAGACTAAGAAATAAGGAAAGACTAAGTAACAGACTAAGGAGACATGACAACTGGATGTAATGTAATGTATCCTGGCTGGGATACTGAAACAGAATAAAAGATATTATGGAAAAACTGGTGAAATCCAAATAGAGTCTGGAATTAGTTAACAGTAACGCAGCAATGTTGGCTTCTCAGTTGTGGCAAATGTACCAAGTGATATAAGATGGTAACAACTGGAGAAGCTGGGTGAGGGACACACAGTAACTCTCAGTACCATCTTTGCAATTTTTCTGTAATACCAAAAATATTCTAAAATTTAAAAGTTTACGTTAAAAAAAAAAACGAAAACCCCGGCTGACCCTACTTCCACTCTAAGGAACCCCCAGCCATTAGAGGGTCTACGGCCTATGTTAGAGGAGATGTAAATCTCCCCAGATCATCGTTTAAATATCTAACCTCTCAGGGCTCCTCAAACATAAGCATGCCCCACCCTGGCCCCAAGTGATGGCCAGAAACAGGTAACCTCTCTTCAGGAACCACTTCCCCCTTGTGCTTATGAAACTTTACACTTGTGCCCAGCAGTTATTTAACCCCATACACAAGATGAGATGCCAGCTGTTTTCATTTACAGAAAAAAAAACTGTCTGCAATAGTTCATGCTACAATGAAGTTCACCTCAGTTCACTAGAAAACTGCAGCTCCTGGGTCTCACGTACCGTTGGAATCTTGGATATCATTGCACAGTATCCACTTCGGCCACTCTCCCCGTCCTGGGGTGCCTCAGAGCTCAGAGTTCCATACAGCAGTGCACTTTGGTTACTCCTGCCCATTTTCAGGAACACTTCACTTCTGCCACCAATTGTCTTATCAGAAGTCACTATCCACTTATCCAAATCTTCTTTGCCGCGGAACTGCCAGACAACCTTGGCTTGTTCCATCAAGACCTCATGCAGAGGGCGGCCTTCAGGCCCTATCCAATGATTCACAATATCATCCTTCAAACGCCTAAAATGGTCCTTTATTTCTTCTTTAATTGCTTTATCAAAACTAACTTCAGGTTTGTCCTCAGGAGAAGTTATATCCAAATCAACTTCTCTCTGGTGATGTCCTTCCAAATTCCCTTCAGTCTTCCTCTGAGAAGAGGCTTTGCCAGGAGCAGCCACTGGTTTCTCAAGACTGCTGGAACAATAATCTGCAAAGCGAGTACTCAAAAATGGACAAGAGGCAACACTTGGCTTCGGGCATTTTCTGAGAATATAAGTGCCATTCAGCAATTTATGAACCAAAGCCATGATTAAAAGAAAATCAAAATGTAAATTTTTCCCTGGCCTACCAGGGAAAGAAGCTTCAGCAAATAGCCCAATTCCACCTATAATAAAAGAGACAGTGAAGAGTTACCAGTATAGCCAATGAATGCATCATAATTTCAACTTCAACATGGATCATGTACTATGAAATTCATGAACTTATTTTCTAATTCTATGAACACTTACCCAGGGCCTACTATGAGCAGAAGAATGTTTACACTGTACATAATACATCCCACTGCCTTGTGAAAAAATGCCAAGATGAACAGAAACACAGGCCCCTTCATGGAGTTAATGATCAACCCCCAAATAATTCAAGTATGTGCTTCAAAAGGTTGTCAATTTTAAAGCAAATTTTTATGCCGGATTTTTAAAGAAATAATTGGTTCCTAAAATAAAATATTCAACTGTCAGTAATTCACTCCAGGATCTAGGCTAACCAACATTTTAGCACTTCATCTATAAAAAGAAGAGACTACAGTTCACATTGTATATGGAGTCAGAGGCCTGGACTTCACACCTAGAACTGTTTACCCTCAGGTAAAGCAGTTGATCTTTTGAGGCCATTTCCTCGGGGGAATGGATGTGCTAACACCTCCCCTACCTACCTTAAGGGATTCTTCTATAGATCAGATGGAATAATGGCTATAAAAGGTTTCTCTGATCCAGTAAGTCTGACAAGATCCCCAAGATTCTTCATGTCTAAGAAGCTCCTAGTCTAAGGCCCACACTTTGAGTAACAAGGCTCTGACTATCAGCCACTATCTGATCTCCTCAAAGACAGAACCTAAACAATAGTAGCAATAATACCATTACATTTAAATGCCATTCTTAGTATTTTTAAGTCACCCTGACAAATATCTCATTTAATCCACATAAGCCTCCTGTAAGACAAGTCAGGTAGTTATTTCCTTTCACAAGGAACTAGACACCAACAGGTGAAGTAACTTGCCTAAGATTACAATGCTAATCAGTATGGAAGCTAGCACTAGAACCCTGGCCTTAAATCCTTCCATTAGTTACTGCTGCCTCTCTCTATGTTAACCATTAGTAATATAACTTCCATAGCTCTACTGAAATAACAACTTTGCTCTTGCAGCAACTTTCAATGACTGCTGGCAGGAAGTGCTGCAAGAACCAGGAAGGCTAAAGAGTTCCCTCTCCTACTTATTCCAGCTACCCCAAAAATGAAATAAAATACAGAATGCTGACTTCATCATCTTTCTCCTTTGTCTTTCTCTCACCAGAGACCAGGAGAGAGAAAAATCAAAAACAAAAAATCACCCACTAGTCAGAACACAGTACTGAGTGAGAAACTAGATGGAATGCTGAAAACTTAAAAAAAAAAAAAAAAAAAGCTTCAAAAATGCCCAAATTCAACAATTCAGCTCAGTCGCCTGAGAGTCTACATCAAAATGGCACCCAGACCACTCTATCTACAACACAGGACCGGTCATCTTTCCAGACTGCCCCTCCTCCCTCACTCCCCACATCAGGTGGCTCACCACCTTCTCTCTCCTAAATCACTGCACTCCAGGCTTGCACCCAGACCTCCACCTTATCCCACCACTCAGCATCTAGAGGGCCTAATACACAAAACTGATTGTTTTCTCTGATTAAAACTCTTCAGAGGGGGTTTCCCTGGGGCACAGTGGTTGGAAGTCCGCCTGCCGATGCAGGGGACACGGGTTCGTGCCCCGGTCTGGGAAGATCCCACATGCCGCAGAGTGGCTGGGCCCGTGAGCCATGGCTGCTGAGCCTGTGCTTCCGGAGCCTGTGCTCCGCAACGGGAGAGGCCACAACAGTGAGAGGCCCGCGTACTGCAAAAAAATAAAAAAACTCTTCAGAGGCTCTCATGATCTTCAGAATAAAACTCGACTTTCTCCATGGGGTCTGTAAGACCCCTCCAGATCTGGCCTCTGCTCATTTCTCCAATCTCCCCTCTAATCACATCCTACTCTGCTCTAACCACAGAGAACACCTGTGGTCTAACAAGTGCCACCTAGTACCCCCTTTCTGGGCTTCATGCCTTGGCAGATTGCTGCTCCTAGGCCAAAAATGCCCTCTACCGATTTCTGCTGGCTGATTTATCCTTTGGGACTCAGCTTAGGCATCCATTACCTCCTCCAAGAACCCTTAATTACTCAACTCCACCAAGACCTTTTGATGTGTTGCATCCTGGGCTTACACTTTCCCTGCTACAGTTTATTGACAGTTCCCTTGTCAGTCTCCCCTGCCAGACTGGAAGTGTCTTGAGGGGAGAGACTATCTTCATTGTGGTACTTCCAGCAATCAGGATGGTGCCAGACATGCAGGAGGCTTCTAATATTTGTTGAACAAATAATATCTCCACATTTCTCTACCACTACCACCACTGTCTTGGTTCAGGGTTTTATTGTTTCTTACCAGAACTACTGAAATTCCCCTAACAAAGGGCTTCTCAAATGTTAAAGTGCCTATGAATCATCTGGGAATTTTGTTAAAGTGCAGATTCTGATTTAGTAGGTGTAGGATGGGGCCTGACATTCTTTATTTCTAACGAGCCACCAGGTGTTGCCCTTAAAGTTGGCACTGAGAACACCCTTTAGGATTCAGTAAGGTCCTAACTCAGATCTCCTCCTTCTCTCCCAATCCAACCTTTGCCTGGCAACAAAGGGGATTTTTCTAAATATGATGGCACTCCCCTTATTCAGCAATTCCCTCCAGAAATTCAAACTCCTAAAATGGTACACAAGGCCCTCCAAAATGTGCCCAACTCCCTGGCCTAACTTCTCCTCACTTCCATGGGCAATAAACACTCTCAGCTCTATTAATTATACTAACTATAATCATGTCTGAACACACACAAAAAAAAAACATTGCTCAAAAACCACAAAAGTGAGGCTTCCCTGGTGGCGCAGTGGTTGAGACTCCGCCTGCCGATGCAGGGGACACGGGTTCGTGCCCCGGTCCTGGAAGATCCCACATGCCGCGGAGCGGCTGGGCCTGTGAGCCATGGCTGCTGAGCCTGCGCTTCCGGAGCCTGTGCTCCGCAACGGGAGAGGCCACAACAGTGAGAGGCCCACGTACCGCAAAAAAAAACCCCACAAAAGTGACCAAACATTCTACTATCCTGGCTAATATGAGTGACTGCCATACACTGACCAGTCATAGCATTAGCCTCACTCTAGATAGATAAGATTCTCTCCTAATTATAGAATTGCCTCCACCTCCTCAATACTTTCCCCTAAATCACCTGACACAAACCTAAGTCCAACAATAAATCCCTTCTAACACCCTCTTACTGAGAAGCCCCATGGTTTCCCACGGCATGTGTTCTTTCTCACTACAAAAGTAATAAGCCTAACTTCAACTACAAGCATGTTCCTGGTGGCCTCTGACTGGAGGGCACTGACATTGCTCTTCCTCCATATTCTTATGAGAACCTACGCATACATCTCACAGCCCTTACAAACTATTAGAATCTTGCTTTTTTTTCTGTCTACCTAACTAGCCTGACTTTAATCCTGGACTATGGCTTAAACATAACTGATACACAATGTTTGCTAAAATAAATGAAAACCGTGCAAACAGTATGTTTTCACATGGACTGAAAAATAGAAGGGAACCAGGAAAAATAACAACAGTTGATCTCACATCCTGGAATCATAGGTAATATCTAAATTTCCCTCACTGACTTCTTTAAATGATTTTACCCTACATATGCAGGAATTTGGAAAATAAATGATAAGCCTATAAAATGGAATTTGTACAATCATAAACACGATTTTCGTTAACACCATGCTTAGGCTACACTACTGAGTGGCAAATAAGGAGGAATCAAAATGCATATACACTAAGATTACAACTATAAAAACGTACGCACAAAAAGATTTGGGGGTAAAAAAGAAGAAAAAGGCTTAAAGTCGTGTGTAGGATGATGGGATTATAAGTAATATTATTCACCCTATTTTCCAACCCCTCAGTAGTGCTATCACTTCTCTAATAATATAACTTTAATTATAAGTGTTTTGTTTCATACTTTTACCAATAAACACAAAGTCAAAAACATTAACTGGATGATCCCGGGCGGAAGTTGGTGAGTTTTCAGAGCAACGTAACCCACGCAGCTGACAGCAGTATTAGTGAAGATTGTACATCCGGAGTTTACTATGTGCCAGAAACTGTCCTGGGTGTATTTTCGTTAACTCCTCACAACAACCGTGAGAAAGGTACTATTATTATTCCACTTACTGAGCAAATTAAATTACTCCCGGTCATACAACTAGTAAGTGGCAAAACCAACCCTAGAGCCCCGGTGTTTAGTCAGGGAGCAGTCGGGACCGTGCCACAGCCCCCTCACCCCTCACCTGCTAGGGCCGTGGGGCCCTCACAAGCCCCGGTCGCTCCAACACCCCGCTGGCGTTCACTGGCCTCCCCTGCCGACGCCTCAGAGTGACTTCCGCCCGAGCCTGGCTTTTCCTGACCGAGTTCTCCACGTCTCTGTAGGGCCGTCTGCTTTTCCAGGCCGGCGGGAAACCAGGCCTGATGACACAAGTTCCGGCCGGGTGCAGAGGCCGGGGAAGAGTAATGAGGCTACCGGACCCCGGCGAACTGAGGTTTTTGGTCGACTAGCTTCCCAAAAGTCTCCCCCACCCCCACCCCCCCATCTCTTCTGCCCTGTGTGAGAAAGTGGGGCGAATATAGAGAAGCTGTTCGCCTCTCCTTCCTGCATCCCGCCTTCAGACTGCAAACTCCATCCCGTATCTTTCAAGTAGGACCCAGATATTGCTAACATCCTTCGCCCCCAAGGAGCCAGGGTCCACTCCTGCTCCATCCCACCATAGCCGCCCAAGAGCTGTACACGGCCTCAGAGGACTGGTTCTGCTGGAATTGCCCCTGCGGAATCTCTGGAGACCCAGCGCAAACTTGGACAGCAAACCGTCCTACCCTCCCTTCCCCAATCCAGCCCCGTGGGGTCGCCCACTCCGCAGGGTTTCGATTGTATCTTGAGCACACCTCTGTTTGAGCACTTTCAACATTGTAACTTAATTATTTATTCACTTCTCACTTCCTCCGCCATACTGTGAGCTTCTTGGGTCCAGAAGGTGCTCTTCTTCCTGTCCCCAGCACCTAGCATAATGCTAGCAGGAATTAAGTGCTCAGCATGAATTTGAATGAATTGTAACCGCTGGCACTTGAACACCGTTCTCCAGGGTTCCAAGACCTCACCAAATACAATTGCCTTTTCCACGTTTCCTCCATCACCCTTTTCCACACCATCACCTCTTCCTTCTTTAAATTCTGCTTAGACTTCACTAGACTCTATACTTGCCTGGTTCTCCTACCTCCTTGAACCTTTTCTAGCTGCCTACTTTACTGACTCTTCTTTCTCCTCCCACAACCTTAAATGCGGGTTCTCTCCAAAGCCCAGCAGACTATGGCCTTCCTCTTTTCTAGTTTCAGATATGAGTTATCTGCAGACAATCAGATAATCTCTTCCCCCAAACACCAGCATATATTTCCAATTTCTTGATAGCGGTTTCAGTTGTGGGATATACCACTAGCATCTCAAATGTGATTTGTTTAAAACAGAACGTATCACATTTACCCATATTAACTCCTCTTCTCATCCTCCCTATTTCTGTAAATGCCTGCATCCTTCTAAGCTGAAGATTCTTGGCTATCCTTGGCTTCTCTCCTTGAAACCTCCTCTCACTGACCTTAAATCCTGTTTGTTTGTTCTGTTTTGTTTTGTTGCCGTCTTTGATATTTCACTCCTTCTTTCCAAATCAAGTGAAACCCCAATAGTTATTGACCTATGCAATTTACATTCAATCTGCTTCTGGACACAACAGTTTGTCTATTTTCATTTAAAAATCACCCAGAGATAAACATAAAATTCCTTTGGCCTCCAGACGTGCCACTGCATCAATTCTAAACCCTCCATAATCTCCTAATCCATCTATACTACTCATACTTATCCTCAATTTCTCATCTGTATGGCCAGGACACTCAAGCTCTCTGCACAGACCCTACCACAAGTCCCTGCTTCACTCACATGACTATCCAATCCTCTTAAGTATAGGGTTAATTAGCCCCTGGTAACTGATGAGCCCCACCTGACGTCAACCCCCACCCCGCCCCAGTCAATGGTAGCCTCCTTCTCCCCACAACTATCAAAGATTGTTGCTATGTTCTGTCTGCCGCCCTTGGTGGGGTGTCACTCCAGGACCTTTTGCTTCAGACCTCCTATCCAATAATCCCTTGATGTCTCTGTCACTGTTTCCAGGCTCTTTCTTCTCTTTGGAGCTGGGCCTGTGGGGTGCAGCCCAACATCATCCCAGGTGTTACCTGCCTAAACCACACTCATTCCTCCTCATAATGGAGTTAATGTTTTCTCTGCTCAGTATTCCTCTTTTCCGCATCCCACACGTTTGATCTCAAGTGTCTACATGACTTCCCCATCCCCATGCCCTGACTTCAGCTGACTGGTCCAGTGGTAGAAACCTGGTCAGTACTGGGCCAATCGGTTATTACCAGGGACTTTCTGAACTAAAACTGGAAAAAAGAGCTTTTAACCCCTGGTGGTTCCAGTGGAGCTCCTGAGCAGCCTGGGGATATTGTGAAGAAAATTGGTTTATGGAAAGAGAAAATAAAATCAAGGTGCTAAGAGAGACAGAAATGGAAGGATAAAAGAAGATCCAGTCAGCATGTATATTGCTAGTTCTAGAGGCCCAGCTGCATGGTTGTTTAGTCTTTTCCTTGACTTCTAAGCACCAATACATTTTTTTACCTAAATTTATCTGAGTTGGGTTTCTATCACTTGCAACCAATAGGTCTTAATTGATACATAGAATCCACCTTTTAAGAACACACCTTAAATTCCATGTTCTCCTTAAAAACTTGCCCTAATGCCTCCATCTCAAAATGATTGCTCTCCTTCTGACATCCTATAATATTTATTCTTTATGCTGTAACACTGGCAATTACTTGTGTTCAAGTGAAAACTAGATTACAAACATGACTAAACTGCTTTTTCATTGTTTTATGTATACAAGACTTTTCAACAGAGAGTAAGACCCTTGAAAGTAGTGATTTTTGTCATATACGTTAAAATATATATGACAGTAACCTGCACAAATTTAGACAGAATGGGCACTGCCTCAAGAGGCCAAACAGAAGACAAATTTCATGAAAACATTTTAGAAGGGCTGTAGTGACACAGTCAAGCAAAGAATATTGTAATAGGGCAAGAGGCAAATATGATTCAGCAATTTCACCTCTTGATGGAGTCCTTTCAGAGTTTGAGGCAAAGGAAATAAATGATTTCAGAAAAAGAGATTACCTGAGGTCATCTGTAACCCTGCAGATCCAGGGTTAGTTCCCTGCTTTGCTAATCCAGGAACTCGATTTTATCTGTTTACTCAGAGGATTACTTTATGACAAGCAACTTCATAGGAGGAGAAATGACAGACCAGAATGTCCATTTATTAATTGACAACAGAAAATGGGTCTGATTTGAGACCCAAGACCACCTACCCAGGACAGTCCCTCCTGGTGGGGAAACCCACCCTCCAGGCCAGACACAGACCAGTGGGTGAGGAGGGTCACATAATTAGAAACAGCTGGCAGTGCTCAAGCAAACTGTCCTTTAAACAACAGGTATTGTCTATTCTTCCTTTGGGGATATTTCTATCTGCTGTTCTGAGACCAGACATTTTATGACGCCACTTTAATCAGTATATAAACACAGACATGTTCTTTTTCCGTGGCTCTTGTCTTAGTTGACTCCAGGTAGGTAAACCCCAATCCATCCCCCACCAATATATGAGCAGTGACAATCCCTTCAGACTGAGGTGATTTTATCCTCCTTTACAATTACAATCACAATCCAGGTGGCTCTATCACTGTCCCTTCCTGACTTAGATTTGGGAAAGATCCTCTGTGTCTGCCACAGCATTACATATCTCCTCAACCTGAATTGCTTTTGCTTAAACCTAGGAGAAAATTTATTTTTCACTTGCCAGGGTGCAAGATTTGGACAGACTTAATAGCTTCCGTTTCTGATTGACATTTCCTAACTGGTAGTTGTTTTCTGGAGTTGAGCCCTAAGAGGGAAACTACTCATTGCTTCCTGATATTTGTTCTTCCTTTGTTTCATTGTAATAGAATATTTAGCTGGGCCCATAAATAAAGTTTACATTTCCCATTTGCAGCTACTAATGGAAGTGGGAATGTTATGTGATTGTGGCTAAGAGCTTTCCTTAAAAAAGTTGACAGGTGGGGGCTTCCCTGGTGGCGCAGTGGTTGAGAGTCCGCCTGCTGATACAGGGGATGCGGGTTCGTGGCCCGGTCTGGGAAGATCCCACATGCCACAGAGCGGCTAGGCCCGTGAGCCATGGCCGCTGGGCCTGCGCGTCTAGAGCCTGTGCTCCGCTATGGGAGAGGCCACAACAGTGAGAGGCCCGCGTACTGCAAAAAAAAAAAAAAAAAAGTTGACAGGTGTCCTCTCCATCCTTCCCCTTTGCTTTCATATTACTGCTTAGAACCTGTCATGACAGAACCCCATCCTGGACCAGGAGGATGAGGGCAAGCTCCTGCAGAAGTAGTAGAAAGCTAGAAGGAGCCTGGGACCTTGAGGACTTTGTGAATCAGAGCAGCCAAAACAGCCCTGGATCGCCTATATCTGGACTCTAACATGAAAAGTAAGCTTTTTTTTTTCCTATTAACACTGCTAATTAGAGTTTATCATCCACAGGTGACTCTAGTCCTAAATAATGTATCCCACTTTGTACCACTATCTGTAAGTGTACAGCTTGACCAATTTTGGGTCATGTTTCTTTTTTAGTAAAAATAACACATCCAGATAACTAATAAGGACCTACTGTGTAGCACAGGGAACTCTACTCATTACTCTGGAATGGCCTATATAGGAAAAGAATCTTAAAAAGAGTGGATATATGTATCTGTATAACAGATTCACTTTGCTGTACACCTGAAACTAACACAACATTGTAAATCAGTTATACCCCAATAAAGATTTTAAAAAACCCAACACACACACATACCCCCAGGGACTTCCCTGGCCATCCAGTGGTTAGGACTCCATGCTTCCATTGCAGGGGGCGCGGGTTCCATCCTTTGTCAGGAAACTAAGATCTCGCACAAGAGTGTGGCCAACAACAAACAACGATGACAACACATCCAGGTAGACCCAACAGGAAAGACAGACAAATAGGCAGGGACTTCCTAAACTCACTGAACTTTCTGTGATGATGGAAATGTCCCCTAGCAACACTGTCCAATATGGTAGACCTCAACCATATGTGGCTGTTAAACACTTGAAATGAGGAATTGAATTTTTAGTTTTATTTATTTTAATTAAGTTTAAATAGCCGCATGTGGCTAGTGGCTGCGATATGGGACAGTGTGGTCCTAGATAATGGTGCAAGAACCCTGAATTACTCCTGAATGGGTCAGCATGTGAAAGCCAGAGACTACTAAACATCATATGGGAAATATATAACTCAAGTATAAATTTTGTC